AACTTAAAATGACACGCATCATATAAGATTCATCCACTTATTACATGGTTAAAAGTTAACTAAATCCGAAGAAACAAAAAAAAAAAAAAATCATACCCCCACAAAAATTATTTATTTTCACCTTTCATAAGAAAGAAATTTTTAGCTAGTGAAAAAAATATAGTGGTTATATACGTTTCAACACAGAAAATTGTACCCGACCAATTCCCGAAAACCAGCAAAACAAAATTTCATAATTTTGCAATGGGACTTGTCACGACCGTATCATTTTTATATAATTGCATAATACATTAAATTAAAAGATCTCATAAGTAATCAACTAGACAACCATGCTTTTTTTTCCTTTATACTCAAAGTAGAAAACTGCAAAACCAAGAAAGCTCAAGAAAGTGACAAACTCTCGGAAAAACTCGATTTCATTTCATGCACACCAAAAGAAATTGTTCATACTAAAACGAATTTGCATGAGTTTAAAATTATAGATTATTCCCAAACGAAACCGAAGTTTGCTACTTTGGAAAAGAAAAACAAAATTGTAACTGTCATCAAAATAATTTGTGGTTAGTTTAAGTCGACTAGTAGTATGTTTCACATATAGTGATTTCCAACGCATTTTACTATTAACAAAAAGTTTAATAAATTACTTAATTAATTACCTGTTGCTGAAGAGCAAAGATGTGAGCGACGCAACCATAGATAGGATCCCTTATCCTAGCCTGAGCTTCATAGCAAATTGTTACGACAGCATCGGACCTTCGATGAACCGGTATGTGTAAGAGAAGCTTCGAGACGTTACTGGCTCCGAACACTTTATGCACCGCCGCAAAATAAGCCGAGCCTTGCTCGGAGTCAAAGTACGGTGCAAATATACATCCCGGCACACACTTCCTCCTTAGAAACTTACAAGCACCACATGGCCCACCACCACCACCGCCACTACTTCCTCCTCCACCACTGCTGCCTCCTCCACCACAACCACCACCTCCGCCTCCCACGGCAGTGATTGTGTTCCCACCACCGCTCATGACCGGCCACCCCACAATTAACGAGTTGTTACTCTATCTCCCTCTCTCTTGTGTTTAGGGTTTTAAATTTGTTGAGAAAAAGATATGGAGATTATGTTTGGTGTTGTAATTTGAAGAAGAGAGGAAGATTTGAGAAAAGGAAATCAAGAGAGGAGAATTAGGGTTTGGTAAGAGGAGAGTACAGAGAAGAAAGTCTTTAAAGCCACGCGACGACAAAGCTAACAAAAAACAAACGATCTCTCTCTATTTTCTCTTTCTCTCTCACATTTAGTTGTTTGCGTGAAGCAAACATGCGATAAGCCTCTTCTATTATTCTTTTTCACAATCTTTAACTACATAATTATATTATTTATAAATTAAAAGATGAATAAAAGGGAAAAATTGTTTGATTTTCTATATCCCTTGGAACATCTCGTGATAAAATTTTATTTTCCAAGAAAAATAAATTTCTTGTTTTCTCTTTATTTGCTGTGAATTTACATGTGATTTGTATTTGTTTGAGATATCTCACGAATTTAATTACGTACAAGATGGAGAAATGAAAACATTTTACATCCTTACAATAAGTTTTTAAAATAGTATAATTTCTTCGCAAGTTTGATAGCCAATGATTTCGATTTTCCATAATTTTTATTATCAGAAGAAAAATGCAAAAGCGTACGTAATTGATGAAATGCCTTTTTAAGGAAATTTATAAGGAAAAAATCGTAGTGATGAAATTGTTTTAGTTAGTTACGCTTAGAGAATGAATGAGTCGATCGCCAACTTATCTTTTATAAAAAGAGGATTAACTATGTTAAAGCAATCATTCCCATATTTATTCATGTTTTCATTTAGTAATTCACGTTTCCCTTCGATAATTACAACTTTAATGGACTCGATTCCGGTTAAGAAACGAGATCAGAGTGAACCGGGAGGCAATATGTCTAAATTTCTCGGTTTGAAATGGAAACAAAACGTAGTTACGTGTACCAGTAAGAAAAGTACACATGGCAATAATGATTGTAACTGCCTAGCGAGTGAAAGATCAAAAAAATGAATGACGTCATTCTTCACGTGGGTCCCACGCGCCGTTCCCTTTGAAAGTTATTTGTAACGCCTCTTTGCTTCCTCAATGTCTCCTCCACGCGTATATCAAATCTTAAATGTGTAATATCTTTCATTTTATAAGTAAAAAAAATGATGTTGGTTGTAATAACAAAAAATAAAAATTAGTGTTAACTAAATAAATGAAAAAAAAATGAAAGCTCCTGAACTTGAGAGTTTCATATTCAATTTTTAGATTTAGGTAAAAATATGGTCGACCATAAAATTTGTCTTGGGCATGAATGCATGAGTCAAAAGACAATTCTTGCTATCATAAATTATATTCTGTTTTTTAGTGATTGATTAGTCATAAACATCGTCGAGTTATATAATAGCGTAATAAATTTGAGAGATGAGATAGTGTAGGAGGTGGAAGTGACATGGTACCTCAAATCTTGGGGATATATGTACAGAAAGATCGACCATTTTCGATCAAACATAAATTATTTTAGTTCACTTAGGTTTATATGGCTCATTATATAGTTAATTCTATGTATTAAATTATCATTTATCACTTTGCTTTTGTTTCTTTTGTTGATGAAACTTTTTCTTCCACTCGTGCAGTCAAGCCCTAAATCTAACATTCTCGTCGAATTTGGTAAGGAATATAAGGATTATATATATCTGATCTGTCTTACAATTTAATAGACGTAATTTAAAAAATGTATATACACACATGCGTTATTTAACTCATATATATTCATATATCCTAAGACCCTATTATTCTTTTGAACTCTAAAATCCACCGGTCAATATCTACTCAAAAATATTATTAGAAAATTATACGGTGTCGCCTAAAAACAAGGCACAGCGATTGATTTAAGAGTTTAAGTGGGAGCTGATGACACAATTATACTAATCTTTTTTATTAAATATACTTTAATATTTTAACAAATGTTATCAATACAATACAATCTACTTAGTGTATCATTTACTAATAATATTTTTACTTAGTTGATTATCTGTAGCAGCTACAAACTGTATTTTTTTTTCTTGGTAATTATCTGTAGGAATTTATCGTAAAATATATATATGTATCAGACTAATTTTTTCGATCGTTTCAAACAAATATGAGTTACAATGAAACTTTTGCTCCAAAACATGTAGCCTTTTAGAATAAGTCATCAGGAATTGTAAATCTAGCTAATACTAATTATTTATGTATTCGGAATGAATTGTTAAAGTTTCCATTGTTACACGTTAAGTAATTAAGGCCAACCGACTTAGTCGATTAGTGATTCGTCTCCATATTTCATAAACTGACAAATGATTCCTTAAAAGTAGAAATGTTGCCTTGAATTAAATATATATTTGAAATTTTGTATATGTTTGACTAAATTATACAGTAATAATTAAATTATATAAACACAATCCCAAAATTCTTAGAACTTGTTTATGTAACCACAAACACAAAAACACACGCACACGCATACATATGAGTTCAGTTTAAGTCCAATTGATGGAAAATAATAAATGGCTAACTGGCAAGAAATCATGTACTACTGTATATAGAATTCATAATTACTTAATTTCTTAAAATTATAAAATGAAACTTATTTTGTTTGATATCATAATTGGCCCCTGGTCGGATAATTTTAAGACAGTGGTTGTATATTAGACGTAAGACAGTTTCGATCTATAGTTCTGGTCGCCAGTTCAAATTCGACAATGTTTGGGTCAAATCTCAAAATTCAACCAGGACGAGTTAGTCTGGTGGTAAACGGCTTGCAGATGCAAGAACGGCCCCGGGTTCGATTCGCACTGGCCACCAGGGAATTTACATGCGGACTTGCTCTGGCGCCCGAGACCGAAGACTGTTACCTGGCCAAGATCCACCTTCGGGTGTGCGCCGCAATCGCGGCCGAGTCCGTGCCGTAAGGGTTCGGTCTCTAGTCTGGACCACCTCGGTGGGGCCAGGACACTCGGTTATCAAAAAAAAAAAAAATCTCAAAATTCCTTATTATTTATTTCGAAGTACATCATCAGAATTTATGGGCCTTTATAATGATAATGTAGAAAAATAAAAGTATGACTATGTACAACAGAAAGATTTGAAGAGATCCTTTAAGTAAATTGTATTAATGATCAATGAAAAAAAAAAAAGATTTATAGTATGTAACTGTTAAAAAAAACGGAAATTTTGTGCATGTTCGAAATAAGAAAGTTTGGGGCGTTAAACTAAAACATTTGAGAGTTGAAGGGGCTGGAAGTGGTGGCTAACCATGTAGAATAGAGTAAAGAGACTGATGGATTAGCAGACAAGGAACCGAACGGCGCGATTCTCTTCTCCAACGCTCCGCTTTCCTACTTACTATTAATCACGTTTATGGATGCTGAAGATTTTTTTAAACATTTTCTAAGTTGAATACAATATTTGAGAATCCTCAAAACCAATCAGATAAAAACAATGTCTTAAGTCCGGGCAGAAGAAGAACCATTGAGCATCGGATCACTTAAGTACTACTATAGATCGAATACCTCAAACCATATTAGTAAGGAATATTTTAATCAATGTAAGGTGGTTTTTTGTTTAGCTTAGTGCCACAAGTTCGACTATCATAATCTCTCTCTCTATATGTTAACTTTTAGTCAATCTTAAATTATTCGGTTAAGTTATTTTGGATGATCTATTTTTAAATATGTCATTAATGTATCTTTTAGAATAAAGCAGCATGCATATAAATTTTTAACTAAAAGAACTTTGGTATGATGTGATTTTTGTATATTTTTTGAGGGATTGTTAACTGAATGTAGAAGTGGTTTTGCAAAAATGTCTGGTTGGTAAAAATCCGTATAATTAGACTACTATCTTGTCATATTACGAGTGTTCAAACTTCAAACCAATCAGATTCTTCGAAACGTATAAATATTAAAGTGATCAATGCAATACAAGTGTTAGACCATAGATGCAATAAAAAGGGTTGTTTATAGGCTCACTATTAGAGAAGGGATGGTGAGGTAAGTGACTGAATGCTTAGGTCCATGGGTCAGTGAAGTCATAGAGGATGTGAGTTATGCCACGTGTCTACATCTTACGACGTGGCTTGTTTGTGTAGTGATCTGAGAAGCAACGCGTACAAGCGATTTCTCCTTCGATCGCAACCGTCGATTCTGTTCGCCTCTTTGACTGAAAATTCGCTGAGAACAATCAAGTTTCCTCACTCGACGCATTCAAGCGCGTGCTTTTCACTGTTTCCTTTTACAAATTCTTTTTTTTTTCGGCATGGTTGATAGAAATGGATTTTAAATTTCTTGAAATTGTTTTTGAACTTTGCTAGGTGAGATTGGTTTAGTTCGAAACTAGTTTTGATTTCTAGAATTTAAAAACCCTTGTATTTAGAACCGGTTTATATCGAGGTTTTGCTGATTTGTTGAGCTACCTTTATTTGTTAAAATACTATAACATTACTACAATTTTATAGAAGAGTTTTCTTGATTTTTTTTGTGAGATACATTCCTACACTAAAATGAAATTTCTCATTAAATTAAAACACTAAAAAGAGAAGACTGGATCAGTGAGTTATGTCGGGTGGAACTGAAACAAAAGGAAGAAGAGGCAATAAAGAAGGTTTTGATTTTCAAATCTCTCTGCACGTATATAATCACTTTGACCGTGATCGTGACCGTGATTGTGATAGTGGAGAATGGAGAAGAGAGATATTATTAAGCTGTCTTGTCTCACTTACTTACAAATGCTATAAACTTATTGATACTTACATGGTTTTTGTGTTTATGTGTGTTTCAGTGTCAATTGTTCATCCGCTACGTACGTTTGTCGCAGCTGGTTTAAACCAACCCTCCTGATGATATGCTGTTATATATAGGGTTATGGTCTGAATCAGACATTTCATGATCTCTCCTTCCTACATTTTCAATGTCTATGAGTTCATGTGGGGATATCTATACACACACTCAAATCTGTGCATATGCTGATATGCATACTGTATATATATACGTAAAGAAAGAGAGTGAGTGTGACAAGAGAGATGTGATAGCATGAAAAGAAATGTGCATGGGGAGGGGCCGCTAGGGCTAGAACACATGTACGTAATTGTTGAAAAAAAAAGCAAAGGGGTTTAAGGTTATGTATCTGCATTTTAGCTATATGAAATCGATCACACGTGGTATGTGCAATTTGATATCGATCTTCATCATTGCGTGTAGATCTTTATAACATATATTATTTCAACTGATTATATAACCTTGTGAATAATTGTCTTTGCTATGCTTTTGTTTGGTTTAACTCATACACTAAATATCTATAACATGTTAGCAGAGATCATTTATAACATCGAATTTTGGAACCCATATTAATTGTTCATATGAAGATATATTAGAATTATATACATGAGTAGTATTCACGTAAAGACCAAAAAATAAAAAAGAGTACGAAATGAATAAATAAGCGGCCGATCATTCAATAGTATACAGAAACTTACATTGATAGTCAAAACCCAAACACTTTTCATTTATTATAAATGTTGAAATTAGTTCATCGAGTTAGCCTGATGTAAATAAACAACCCATCTCCTTCTCTCTATATATCTCTTCCTCTCTTCCTATCTCTCTCTTTAGTTGAAGATGATGACCGGAAACTTGAACGGCGGTGGAAGAGGAGGAGGGGAAGGACCATGCGGGGCGTGCAAGTTCTTGAGGAGAAAGTGTGTGAAAGGGTGCGTTTTCGCTCCTTATTTCGATGCAGAGCAAGGAACTGCGAGATTTGCAGCGGTTCACAAAGTGTTTGGAGCCAGCAATGCCTCTAAGATGTTACTGAGATTGCCTTTGCACAAGCGACTTGATGCAGTCGTCACGCTCTGTTACGAGGCCATGGCAAGGCTTCGTGATCCTGTCTATGGCTCTGTTGGCCATCTCTTCTCTCTTCAACACCAGGTCCTTCTTTAAAACCATCTTTTATAACACAAGTGATTATATATATATAGAAACTTACAAGCAAGACTGTGTGTGTATTCAGGTGATGAATCTACAAGCAGAGCTTGCTCATGTTCAAGCTCTTCTTTCAACATTTCAGCGTTTTCCTCTACAGTCGCCACAACAAATGCAGCCACCGCCTTATGATCTTGCGCATAACAATGAATATGCGATGGAACCGAGTAATTTGGATGGTGTGTGGGAAGAAGAACATTTACTTCAAGATGGAACTGAAGATGGGGATTTCCAAGAACTGGCGCCGCAGTTCGTCTCAAGGTATTTACCGGCGGTCAAACTTCCGGCTTGCACTTAGGTCAAACTACAAGTCAAGAACTTATGTATTATAGCAGTGGAGAGTAGAAAAATGGGACGTGTCTCTGTTCCCAATAGTTGACCATTCCGCTTAAGATCATGATATAGCTAAGTATGTATGCCTGTTAAGAGTTCAAATTGGTTCTTGCATGGAGTGTTTCTTCGACAAAACTTCAGATCATGGTAACAGAGCAAACAATGAAATGCTTATCGAGCATGGAATATACTGTGTCTTGACGTCTTGTAGAGAGAGCTTATATAGTGCACTATATAATGAAACTAAGGTAGAATCATAAAAAGTTAACGCAGAAACAGAACCTGTTTTAGGGGAATTTGCCAAGAGATTAGAAACAGAGTCTAAGAAGAGAGACAATTCACTAAAAACAGAGAGATTGAAAATAAAATATCAAATCTTTCTTATAACTGCTAACACCATAATTAGCTCACTATGATAACAATTTCAATCCTAGATTACGATTGTTAATGAATAATGACAATGAGTGGAGTTGGTAAAATTTGTATTCCGTTAAGATTTTATAGCTCTTGTATATACAGTATAATTTAACATTCTTTCTCTTTAATCAGATAATATTCTTTACATGCGCTCTTTTCTCAATTGTTTCTCTCTGTTCTTGATTATGACTCGAAACTGCTACCGTTTATGAGATCTGGAAACAGAGATATTCGGGACTCCATCGTCACAAATCCCGGCTCCCATCTTCAGTGATCATACCCAATGAAGTTCCTACATTTGGATCAATGAATCAATGGATATGTTTAGGTTGGGGCCTGGGGGCTGGGGGAGTGGATGTTGCTCAACGGACGTTGCACAAGATTGGTGGATGCAAGTCTACTCAAGATTTGCTATTTTCTTTGGCCCTTTGTCATTTAAAAACTCAAATACAATTTTTTTTTGGATTCAACTAGAAGATGAAAAACAAACTGGTAAAGTTTCCAAAACGTTGATAAAGAAAATTTTCAAAATTAGTTGTAGAATTTTGCTATATAAAAAAAACATTTACAATATAATTTTGTATGTAATTCGTTAATTAGTTTTAGGGTAAAAGCTTTCATATATATTTGACGCTCAAAAACCCTAGATTAAACCTCCCATCCCAAGGCATGAACACAATGACCAAAAAAAAAAAAAAAAGACGAGGAAGTCATCAGAGTCTCCGAAGTCGTTTTCTTCTTTACCATACGACGTTGTTCTCAACTGTCTGTCTCGTGTCTCAAGAACCCACGATCCAATTCTATCTCTCGTATCCAAGAGTTTCAGATCACTCATCGCTTCGCCTTTTAGAGAATTTTTTTAGTATTGGTGTTATTTTTATGGTGTTTTTGATTGATAAATTTGCAATTGTATACTTTTTCTCCTTCAATTATATACTTTCACAAGTCTGTCAATCATATCATTAAACTCCATCTGGACCAAGGCGGTTTAGATGACGCTCTAAAGCTCAACGACTCATCACTGGCCAATTCCGATTCGAGTTCTGTCATTGTGAAAGGTTTTGGTCGACCCCGGGAGGCTACACAAAGCCCTAACTAGATCTATTAATGCCGAGAGACTTCTTCTCTATGGGCTCGATCGGATGTGTGCAAGAGCCTTGTTTGGGGACTATTGCGTAAAGGGGATGTGAAAAGGGGCAATGAGGTATTGGGCGATTTAAAGGGGACAGCTCTCATGTTAATTATACTGGATATGACTATGTTGCACGCGATTGTGAGTAGCGAATTTGTGGAGTATTGGTTCGAGCAAGGTAAGTAAGAGGAAGCTATGAAGTGTTACAATCATGTAAAGTTGAGAAAATACACGAAAGCAACTACTGTCAAGTCAACATACTTTTAGAGAGACAATTCACTTCAAACGTAACAGAGAGAGTGAAAGTAACAACTTTAGGAATCCATGGAGATTTTGGCTTTTAAGATTCAGGGTTTACACTAGATCATAAATTTGTAAACATTTAGACTACTTTCCTAATCTTTCGATATAGCTTAAGTTATAGCATGGGCATATGTACCTCATTTTTCTCTAGCTCTTGGTAGCAACTACATGGCTCGGACTTGGAACTTTCCACTTAACCGAAGATGTAAGCCGGAAGTTTGACTGCCTCCATCTTCGATAACAGTTCTTTTCCCTCACAACGCCCAAGCTTTTTTTTTTGTTTGTTTAATATAAAGTAATATTCATCAACAAAAAAAGACAGTGTTACAAGAGACTTTTGGTTTTGCTGAGAGTTTTAAAAGTTAAATCTAAAAAGAAAGACGAAGACAAAATGAGGCTTATAGTAGTATCTGACGAATACCAAACCACCTAACGTCCAAGTTAGTTATTAGTTCCACAATGTATAAGTATTTTTTATATATTAATTCAAATTTTGTGTTCACCATAGAATTTTCTTAACTAGATTATTTATTGAATTTCAACTGGGAAAAATATTGTATCAGTACAACATTAAAACATCTTACTCTTTCTAATACTGTAGAATGTAGTCATGTAGAAAACGTAAAACAATAAGTATTCATTTTGTAAAGTAATCAGTTCAAAGAAAACAGCTACTCGGAACTTAATTTGTCTGTATTATTATTATAAGGCCATTAATATTTTTTTTTTGACAAATTCCCATTAACAAACTTGTATTCATTATCTTCTAATACTGTTTTGTTTCTTTTAAATACTCCCTCCGTATGAGATTAAGTGTCATTTTAGTCAAATTTTTTAGTTTCTAAATACATGTCGTTTTGATTTTTTTAAGTAGCTTTTGCTTTATAATACCCAAATTACCCTTAATGAAACACAACTAACTCTAATAAAAGGAAAGCAATTTTGTAATTTGTCATTTTTTTTGAGGATAGAATTGTAATTTGTCATGTTTCCTTAATTTAACTAATTACAGTTAAAACGACATCTAATTAAATACGGAGGGAGTAGCATTTAAGGAAAAAAATATATGGACCATAGAAGCGTGATGTGAATTGTGAACCAAACCCAAAAGAAAATTATTTAGAATTTATTTAAATGTCATGCATCACGCGCATTCACTAATAAAGTAGTAATGTTTGTGATATATAGCTGTAGTCGTTTTTTTTTTTTTTTTTTTGGGGTCTCAGATAGCTGTAATCGATTTAAATTGTAAGTTTTAGAATAGCCATCTACGATCTTAGACTTAGGAACGTAGGGATCATTGATCCCCCTAACACTGTAGTATTGTTACTGTTGTATAGTCATCGAGGGTGTTTTCTATAATTTAAAAAACTATATAGATATAAATTAAAAGAATATATAAATATCGAAGCCTCAAATCACCAATTAATGTCCATAAGAAATATATATTTCTAAACAAATTACTTATTTCTGCTTTTATTTTTAAACGTGGAATTTTGGATCCAAAACCCAAACATCTTTCTCATGCTTCTATAAAAGTTGGTGAAGTGACGATATCAATTACACAAACGTTAAATATGTTTTCCAAAAACCTAAACGTAATATGATCCAGATTCTTACAAAATTGATGGAATATTCAAATACTGTTTCGGATAAGTATTTAACGGATTACAACAAAAACAAAGTCTTTCCCTCTTCTTCTATTTTTGCATACAGGCGAAAAAACGAAAACTATCAAATCACATAATTGATTAGAGTTTTTCTTGTTTTTTCTTCATTTGTTACTTTTTGTTTTTTTTGTCGTTGTGGTTGTTGGAGGTTTAACTCTTAACTAATTAATCATACAAAATCAACAATACACACATATATCTATTATCTATATGGATGAAATGGAAACGAGTAATTAACATTATTAATTAGAACAATTATATCATCTTTTGAAATGGTAAATACGGCTATAAGATCAAACTCACCTATTGTTTGCTACATCGCTCAGATGACAAATTCATACTGGTGATTGAAAAGCAATAATATAAAAAGAAAAAAGAGAAGAAAGGAAGAGAGTTCGCAACATCAACAAAGCAAAGTCCCGAAAAAAACGGTAGCTTTGTGGAGACACAAAAATAAGATAGTTGCAGGATCATGTGCCACGCCTACGCTTTCTATTCCATTACATCTCATTCACGCGTCTCACTCATATTAATTAATAATTATTATATAATCACAATCCTAATAATATCCCTTAATCTATGCCTAGAACATGCCTAAATTATAATTAATACATTCGACACCACTAGAAGCCAAAACTATAGTAGTAAAAAAAAAGAAGAAGCTGATTTGTACGTAGAGGATGAAAGAATGAAAATAACGGAATCCAATAACAATGTTTGTAATAAACGGACAAAGAATGTGAATTATTCACATAAATGATCTGTAAAATGTGAGCATTTGATTATAACGGATATAATAAAACAAAAATTGTAATAAAGAGAGAAGAGGGCAAAACGGGGAACATGTCACGCGGATAGGTGTGAGGGAGTTAATGACGTAGGTTCCGTTATTTAAGAACCCTTTAGAGAGGTTCCCACACACCAGAAGAGAGAGAAAGAGACAGAGAGAAATGGTGAGAGAAGAAGAAGAAGATGACAACAACAACAACGGAGGAGGAGGAGGAGAGAGAAAGCTGCCTGTGGCTGATGAAACGGTGCCGTCTTTGTTGGACGGAACGGGGTTGGTTTGTGTAACGGGAGGTACTGGTTTCGTTGCTTCTTGGCTCATCATGCGTCTCCTTCAACGTGGCTACTCCGTTCGAGCCACGGTTCGAACCAATCCAGGTTCGAGTAATTAGCTTCACTTTCTCTTTACACACTTTAAATCATCATCATTGATTAACCAAATGCGAATAAAATTGTTGTTGTCATATATGGCTGTTTGGTCCATTTTAACATAAAGTACATAAATAGAAAGATAGATTATAGTTTTTATTTATTTATATAAAGAAATATAACATTTAAAGTTGATTTTTGGATCGACAATTTAAAAATATATATTTTTATGGATGTGAGAAATTTATTGTACTTTGCTGGAATTATCTGTCAGTTTGTAGGATCTTGAAGCTTCATAGCTATGTCATGTTCCATGCATCTTCTATAGAAAGTCAACCATATATTTTATGATCAATAACTAATAACCATAAGATATAAATGAAGTTAATGATTCATGATTTGTTTATTTTATGCATATTACAGAAGGGAATAAGAAAGATATAAGCTACCTAACCGAACTACCATTTGCATCGGAGAGGCTTCAAATATTCACCGCCGATCTCAACGAACCCGAGAGTTTTAAACCGGCGATCGAAGGATGCAAAGCCGTATTCCACGTGGCACATCCTATGGACCCAAACAGCAACGAAACCGAAGAGACCGTTACGAAACGCACCGTGCAAGGTCTCATGGGGATACTAAAGTCGTGTTTGGACGCTAAAACCGTGAAACGCTTTTTTTACACGTCAAGCGCCGTTACCGTTTTCTATAGCGACGGAAACGGCGGTGGAGGAGGAGAAGTAGACGAGAGCGTTTGGAGCGACGTGGAGGTGTTTAGGAATCAGAAGGAAAAGAGAGTTAGTAGCTCTTACGTCGTGTCGTAAATGGCGGCGGAGACGGCGGCGCTTGAGTTCGGCGGGAAGAATGGATTGGAGGTTGTGACGCTCGTTATTCCTCTTGTCGTCGGACCTTTTATATCTCCGTCGTTGCCTTCCTCCGTCTTCATATCTCTCGCCATGCTCTTTGGTACTTAATTCTCATATCTAATAAATTTAATTTAATTTTTCTCCATGATTAAACTAAAGCTACCAAATTAATAATTTTAAAATAACTTTTCTACTTTGATTACGTAGACGTTATATATAGGCATTAAAAATTATATAAAATAATTAAAAGTATACTATAAACTTTTGTTTATTAAATAAAGTAATTTCATAATATTAGACTACTAGCTAGTACCAAGTAGTTAAATGGTTCACCCTGTATAGTACTTTTGTTTTAAATGACAAAAACTTTCTGCTTAGACTTCGTAGATTAGTCTATATTTATGTTTTGGATATTGTGGCTATTAAAAATGTAGCAAATTTTATCATTTTAATCAAAATATGTGTTTTCTATACCGAAAAAAAAGAATTAAAATCCTAATTTCTATACGTAACTATTAGAATGATCACGTACGTGTGATATTCAATTTATTACAATTCGAGTAGACTGATTTTCGTTGTTTCGTTAAAAAACGTGTAAACATGTGTTAATATTCACAAATAGTGTTTTGAGTAATAATCACTATTCACTATAATAGTTTACTTTATTTTTTGTATGAAGGAAATTACAAAGAGAAGTATTTATTCGATACTTACAACATGGTGCATATCGATGATGTGGCGAGGGCGATGATATTACTATTAGAAAAGCCAGTAGCGAAAGGTAGATATATTTGTTCGTCGGTGGAGATGAAGATCGATGAGGTCTTTGAGTTTTTGTCTACGAAATTTCCTCAGTTTCAGCTACCTTCAATCGAGTAAGTCATTTTTTACTAGTATAATTAATTCAACGTGTAAATATTCTATTGGCTTTTCCAAAGATTTGATTTACAATTTTTATTATGTTCTTTTTTGTGGATACGTAAAGTTTGAAGAATTATAAAGTAGAGAAGAGGATGAGTCTCTCGTCGAAGAAGCTGAGAAGTGAAGGGTTCGAGTTCAAGTATGGAGCCGAGGAAATATTCAGTGGAGCTATAAGAAGCTGCCAAGCGAGAGGATTTCTTTAAATTCTTATGGAATTTTGTGTTAAATTTGTATATGAATTGAAAATATCTTTTTATTTTCTTTATTGGCCATGTCCGTTTTGTAACATGTTCTTACTTGTTACGAAAAAAAAAATGTTTTAATTCATATTTTTTCTTGATTTATTAACCAAAGAAGGTTTAATTAAGAAAAATAAAAGTCAACAACGCCCACCGTGGGGCTCGAACCCACGACCACAAGGTTAAGAGCCTTGCGCTCTACCAACTGAGCTAGACGGGCTAGTTGTTTAGCTTTCTCTCTAGTACGTATTTGGCAAACGTCAAACGTGTAGAATCCTCTGACAACAAAAGAATAAGAAAACAGAGTTGCAAAACAACATAACTCGTACGAAAAGTCGTGATGTGCTTCATCAGATCCTTTAACACATGCATTGATGATTTGATGTCCAAGCTAAGTCTTTTACTGATTTGCGGAAATTATGTAGTATGATTCTGTTTTTTGAACATAAGGTTCAAATAGTAATCCAAACCAAATACTGTACATCAGAACAACTAAAACAAGCATATGATAAAAGGCTACTCTTTTTTTTGGTCTTAAATCAAAAATCCTTAACTAGGCCCAGTGGGCTTGTCTGTAATTACATAAGGGAGAAGCCATTAACTAGGCCCAGTAGGCTTGTCCGTCATTACATAACATCGGACGTAGTAAGTGAAAACGCTTTGCTTAGCATGCCTGTCAGCAGCATGCCTTAACTTCTTGTCGGGGCTTAAACCATTGTGTCTAACTTATTTGATCAAATCAATTGACTCTTTCTAACTAATCGTTGATAATGACATGTCATCCGAAATTTCTAGTTAGCTCCTAAAGGGAAAGAAAAAAAAAAAACAAATCTTTGGAGTAGAAAAATCAAATTCGTCAGGTTCGTAGCTTCGTCCTCGTTGATGAGTTCTGCATCTGGGATTTCTCACTACCATTTGTCCCATAACCCCTTTTTGAATCTTAGATTCGATTTCCCGACAAAAGTCTCTTCCCTATTTTTTATCTGCTCTGTCTCCATTAGTACACAAACCGATCCAGAAACCGGAAAGGTTAGATTTTTTTCCAAGCGATCGTGATTGAGTATGCATAGATCTGGTACTACAATGGCGTGGAACGTCTTCAAATTCTGTACAGCTCTACGAGGACTCGGATCGATCATGATCCTTCTGGTCCTAGGTGTTGTTGGTGTAACCTATTACGCCGTCGTGTGGACCAATTACGGACCAGCACTATCAGATGGAGGGCTCGGTTCTCTTGCTGCTCTTGCTATTATAATCCTTTTCCATTTTTTGGTAAACCCTTCTTCCACCTAATCTTTACCCTTTTGTTGATTTCATTGTTTATCCAATAAAAGCTTCCTACTTTGATGAATTCTTCATTATAATTTTGTTGGGTTTCAAGTAATTTTTGTAATTGAATTGCTGAGAAAGTTATGATAGTGTGTTGTTATTATTGATGCAGTTGGCAATGCTTTTGTGGAGCTATTTCTCTGTTGTGTTTACTGATCCTGGTGTTGTGCCTCCTAATTGGAGGTTAGCTTCAGACGAGGAACAACGAGGCGAGTCTGATCCGTTAAACAGTTTGGAGTTTTGCGTGTTACAGCCTGATTCTTCCAACCAAAGAACTCGGTTTTGTAGAAAATGCAATCAACCTAAACCTCCTCGCTGCCATCATTGCTCTGTTTGTAAGAACTCAGTCACAGACATATACTCTCAGTCTCTCTCTGTAATTATCTTTGGAGCATTTGTCGAAGGAGTATCAGGAAGCTGAATGTGTTTTACATAAAATCCAGGTGGCCGATGTGTGTTGAAAATGGACCACCATTGTGTTTGGGTTGTGAGCTGTGTCGGGGCGCTTAATTATAAGTATTTTCTTCTTTTCTTGGTAAGTCTAACTTTGATCTATTAGTCATTTTCCTTCTGCTGTTGTGATCCTTGTGCTGCATTGCTGTTCTTCATAGAAAGGTTCACACTTTTTAGTTAGCTCCAGATTTTGAAGTTGAATTGTGCCAAAAGAGTTTCCTTTAATGTCTCTTACCAAAATTAGAGTACTTTTTGGGTATAGGATACATTCTTGTATGTTTATGCCACCAAATGATATAAATTCTTCTCATGCCTTGTGTGTTAAAAATGTTTCAAATGCAGCTTTACACCTTTTTGGAAACAACTCTTGTGACTCTACTTCTCATGCCGCACTTTATAGCTTTCTTTAGCGATGAAGAGATACCTGGAACCCCAGGCACCCTTGCTACTACTTTTCTTGCATTTGGTACGTTTCTAATACCCAGTCTTATTATGTTTGGCAGTTTAATTGATTTTCTCGGTTCCACCTATCCACTGATCTCACAACGTTTCAAATCATTACCGCAGTATTAAACCTGGCATTTGCTTTAAGCGTTATGGGTTTCTTAATCATGCACATTTCGTTGGTTGCTGCCAATACCACAACTATAGAGGTACATGTTCTTTTCTTTTTCTTTGCTAGCCTGTTAATAGTTTGGTGCATCACATGGTTAATATTTCTTTAATGTATTGACTTTGTGAACAGGCATATGAGAAGAAAACAAGTCCAAAATGGCCATATGACCTTGGTCGAAAGAAAAACTTTGAACAAGTAAGTGTAGACTTTGATTTGGTATCAAGTTATGTACTTGTGAAGTTCTTTAGGTTCTTTCTTTCTCCCTCATGTTTTAATCTCTTTTTTTGGGGTTATGTTTAGGTATTTGGGATGGATAAAAGATACTGGTTGATTCCAGCATACTCAGAAGAAGATTTAAGACGAATGCCGGAACTTCAAGGACTCGAATACCCTTCCAAACCGGACTTCGATTCTCAGGATTTCTGAAGAAAGGTGCCTTCTTTACTGTAACAATACCTTAGAGATGACAGAGACAGAGATAAACACCAGGAAATGACTTTGGAGGAGTAAAATCTACTCTAACTTAAAAGAATCGCTTCTCGCATTACACGGTGTCGTTTCTTCCCACAGGTAGAAGAAAACGCTGAGACTAAGGGCAAATCTGATGATATTTTGTAATTTGCATATGAATATGATTGTAGTTATAAATGTAGAGCCAGTCTCACGTTAAATAGAATCCTCCCTCCGGTTAAGTCACTCACTTTTCTTAAAGTGTATTCCTTCTGTTAAAACCCTGGTTTCAATGCTTGCCATTGAATGTTTGTGGTAAAATAAAGAAAAATTCACAAGGATGAAGAATGATGAAGAAGCTTCTAGGTTATGGTAAAATGACACGTGTATCAATCTCAGCCGTTCGTTTTTTTTGTCAACAATCTCAGCCGTTCTTTTCTGTCAGAATTGAGGTTATATAAAAACAGAGTGATGTTAATTTGTCTTTTGAATTAAGAGTACTCTGTCTCTGGAATTTCTGGGTTCTTCTCGTATTCTCTCAAAGGTACTCTCTTTTCTTAGCTCTTGTTCTAACTCTTCATTTCTCTTAGAGAACGATAGGTACTCTCTTGTTCTTATACTCTATATAAGAATCTCCTATGAGAGATAGAGATTTGGTGAAGTTTGTTGTATTCAACTTAGGCTGTTCATAGAGATTTGCTTGATTAGTATAGAGAAGAGTTTCTGAGATCATGTTACTAAATTTTATACAAAAAGATTGCAGAGATAAAAAGAGGAATCAGGGAAATGGGTGATCCATTTGGTGGTAGATTTGGAAATATTGGAGGATTTAGAGGTAGCTTGTTTGGAGGAAGAGATCCTTTTGATGATCCATTCTTCTCTCGACCATTTGAGGATTTGCTCGAACCACCCAACACCTTTGGTTCAGGTGCTTCCTTTAGTAATGCACAGAAGAACAATGGTGGAAGAGGTTTAACAATTGAAGAATTACCATCTGATGAAGAAGTAGAAGAAAAGAAATATATTGGTAGTGATGATCAAGAACATGCTAGTTCAGTGAATCAACCATCTGTTGAGCACCCTGAAGATGATTCTGATGGTAACTACCACTAGTGATTAGATGATAAACTTTGTTTTCGGATTGTATTTAATTGCTTGGTTGTTGTTGTAGCTGAGAGGAAGATTCAGAATGTGAATCAAAGGAGTGATTTCAATCAAAGAGAGGGTACGCAGTCTCGAGCTAACACATTCAGACATCACATCTCTAAGGTTACATATGGTGGCATTGATGGTGCTTACTATACATCTACTAGAACCAGAAGAAAAGGCAGTGATGGAGTAAGCTTGTTTCTCTTTTCGACCCTTTATTTTAAAGGAAATTTTTACGCATACTAATCAGATTCTGTTTCTAGATGGTGGTAGAGGAAAGCAAAGAAGCCGATAAGACTACCGGTGAAGCCACTCATAGGATCTCCAGAGGAATCAATGATAAGGTGATTGATTACCCTGTTGATGTTTTGCTCCATCACTTCTTGGTTCCACCAAGTTTCAATTTTAGATGTGTCTTGGACTGAGACTCGTGGTTTGGTGTATCCAGGGTCATTCAGTTACTAGGAAGCTTAACTCAAGTGGTGGTATAGAGTCGACACAGACTCTTCACAACCTCGATAAAGGTCTGCAGAATCTACACAGCCTAATCATAAGTTAAAGCTCTTTGAAGGAAAAATGGAAAAATTATAAAAGATTGTTTGTTTGATTTTTTTGATTCAGACGAATTAAGTAGCTTTGAGGAAGCATGGAAAGACAATTCATCTCTTGCCAAACATGAATTCACTGGTTAGCAAAACTCTTCATCTCAAATTCAGAATCAAGAAGTTTCAGTCAGTTTTACTGTATTGTTTTTGTTCTCTATACAATGTTACAGGCTCTGATCATAGTTTTGGAGGGTGGCTTCTTCCAGCTCTTGACCAAAGTCGTCGCCAAACAGAGCAAAGTCAGACTGGTTCGAGCCGATCTGCAACTGGAGCTAAGCAGGTTGTTCGAATCAACATTGAATGAATCATCACAAAACCATGTATCAATCTATGTGTGTAAATCAAATAATGTTGCAGATGCATCATTGAAGTTGCAATGTCAATAATTTTACATTCGTGTATCAACCTATTTTTATAAACTTGTTTTGGCTAATTATACTTTATAATCAGATTTCTATTTGAATCTTATATAATATATATCATAGTAGAATTCCCCATAAAAATCAATCCAACTATTTTAAAATGCAAAAATATCATTAGAATCAGCAACTATTTTTTTTAGTCATTAGGAAACCATGTATCAATCAAATAATGTTGTAGATGTTGTTTGAAGTCGTTATGTCAATAATTTACATTCGGTAAACGCAACATATAATAACTTTCGAGTTTGGAAAATTGTTAAAAGTTTTTGTAACGTATATATACATCATTTAGATTTTAGACACAGAGAAAATGAAGTGGTGGAAAAGGGTAAAACAGGAAATCCAAATCTAGCGTCTGAACAAATGCTCCTCTCCCGATAGATGATCCACGTGTCTAATCCAACGGCTAGGAAGCATCCTCGAGTCACCACGTTGGTGGCCACCAGTAGCTCCCACGTGTACGATATCCAACCCACTCCCAACCGGTAAAAACACGGATCTAACTACACGTGTACCTCCTTTCAACACATCGTGCCATTTAAACCCAGAGATTGCTCTCTGCGCGGCGTTTTTACACACCAAAACGGCACCCTTGTTGCTCAATTTCGCAAACCTCAGCGTTCTAACGAAATCTCGCCGCTTCGAGTCCACCACCAAGAAATCCACACCGAGAAACTCCTCCATCGTGTTCTCAACAGATTCTCCGACCACCACAACCTCCGTCGTCTCCGTCGTAACGACTCCTCTCATGGCCAACACGTACTCAAGTTTAGATTGCTCGTCAGGTACTATACACACGTGTCTTCCGCGCGTGTGAGTTGCAGCAACCGCGAGTCCGACGCTAGTCGTGATTGGATCGCCGCGTGACCATGTCTCAACGATCAGCCTCGCGTTCCATCCAGCCGCCGTAGCTGATAAAAACTCCGCCACTCCTGATTCTTTGTAGCTCTTACACTACACACATATATGCATGCAAAATTAAATAAAGTAAAAAAAAGTATTTATATACACACATATATATATGTAATCTAGTTAAAAGGCATACCGATTTAACGGTGTCGATGTAGGCGTCAGAAGCAGTTTCCGGCGACCAGACAAGCTTCATAGTGAAAGTGAAATGGAGTTTGATGATTTGGGAAGAAGAAGAAGAAAGTGGTTAGGTTTTATAAATGGACAAACGAAGCGTTGACATTTGCTTACACTAATAACAACGTGTCAATTGGTCTCATTGCTTCCATTTATTACTCCTTATTTATCCTCACCATTTTTTATACAAAAATATCTGTTACTGGTCGTTCAATCAGTAAATCTACTTTTATATAAAAAAATTCCATTCTATGCAAAAATCGAGAATTTTATGTCGTCGATTTGCGTTAGCCTACTATTTTGACAATCTAATGTAAAAACATATCAATATATACCTACCGTAAAAGTTATTTAGACACGAATTATATTACATAAGTGATAATTAATAATTTAACCATTGGATTTGTTATAATACTAGCTAGTTAAATGTTTTTTTTGAATTTTGATACTTATTTCATTGTCGTCAAAAGGTTAGAGTGTGAAAATATACGTGTACTACTAAATCAAAGGATAACTTTGATTGCTGATATTGTGGACTTGGTGAGACAATTTTTTTTTTTTTTTTTTGATAAACCCTATCGGCTGATCCGGTCGGCCTCGGTAGGAACGCACCGAGGTGCTACAGATTGGACTTCTCCCGATCCAGGTAGAATTGGGCCACCACACTGCCTGATCCGAGTTTGGAATGCCTTCCGACTAATGCCAGGGGGTAGTCAGGCCGCCTGCATTTCTGACTACCAGGTAAACCAATTGGGCCAAGGCCCAACTGACAGACTTCCCAAACAAATGTGTTTTTGTTTCCAGGGAGAATCGAACTCGGGTCTGGGAGTTTCACCCTTCACCAAAGCTTCCTCTGCCACTAGACCACAGAGGTTTGGGCAGTGAGACAATTTGAATACTTACATGAGATGGTCTTTGATTTTTTTTTCTTTCTAAATTCTCAATCTTTGATTTTTGCCTTTGTTATTTCAACTTAATGACGATCCATATGCTTTTTCTTTGGAACTCGCTTTCATTGTGCCAACCAACGAATGTATAATAAAAGGTTATATATATAAGAATTATATATATATCGCCGGCTAGTTTGGTTTATTATGCACGTACCACATAAGCTAATGGGTATGCGACAAAGATATGTATAAAATTACATATAAAATTATAAATGAGATTCGTTGAAGTTTGAAGATATTACAAATTACGAAGTTCATTCTATATGAAAAGATCATAAATTTTGTCTTGGTCAAAAATATGAATTAAAAAAATCCTAGCTTGGTTTTTCAAAAATGATTAAAATCCACCAATCAAAGTCTTAGACTCACTTTGTAATCAAATTATATGGTGAAAATAACTAAGCCATTAAAATCACTCAAAATTTAATATAAATCTCATTAGCATATGTAGACATATAGTCATCAGTTTATTGATAAATTTGCTGGAATTGCAAATAAAAACTAAGTGTACAATGTGCATGTGTGCCCAAATGCGTAAGAACTAGAGCCCATGAGTAGTTATGAACTTAATTTGTATAAATATAGCAACTTAAATCTAATATTAAGCTATAGTATACTATTTTGGTCGAGACATGCGTGTACCATAGCTCCTGAAATAGTACGAACAACCCAATGTAGAGCAAAGTACACTTAAGCTATAATTAAATTGAATCTGCCTCAAGTTGACATGATTTTAGTTAAACTAACGATTGAGTAGACGACAAAATAGCGCTTTCGTTTTATATAAAAGACGCACGATATTTAAATTGCAACTATGCATTGAAATCATATTATATAGTTTATAAACAAACCCAATTTGACTCTCACCCAAAAAAAAAAAAAAATCAATTTGATAAAGGAGAAAAATGTACGATATATCGTACCACTCCATCCCTGACAATGACTTATGAAGGAAGTCAATGCTTATCAACTGTACTTGCTTATCAATACGATATTGACAATATCTTATTATCACACTATCAGTTTTCTATTTTCTATACATATATTATTTCGTACAGATTTATTTGGTGACATAATAATATAATCAACTTAAACTCAAAGATCTAATTCAATTCGTTTAGAGGAAAGGAATATCCTTCAAATTCAAAAAATTTCTATTCTATTTTATTTTGGTGTCTTGAATGTCTCTGTTACTACCTTCCTACCAAAAAGAAATGTCTCTGTTACTACGTATCATGTAATAATTTAACTCCACAATGAAATAAAAATCAGTTTAATAAAGAAGTAAGTACATAATTGTTTATGTTGAGGATATAAATCGATTTATTAAACCAAGCTACGTACTTTGTTTCGATGTTTGTAAACAATCAATACTATTGGGCAACCTAATTTCCTTTTGCAGGTTTTGGGCTTCGGCTAATAATATATACTATTGGGCCTTATTTAGTGAGCCCGCTTATAAGCAAAACTAAACGACTTCGTTTAACTTATTCCTTTAGAATCAGAGACTACTACATACTAGCCGTTAAAACGATGATAAACCCAATCCGGTTATCTCCAACAGAAGAACGTAACTGATGCTTGTCTTCAACAATGGAGTGTTCGATTTCATCCACCATTCAAGTCCTTGGAAGCTGCAAAACTTCATATGACGTGAACAAAATCCACGCGGGATTGATTAAGACGGGAATTATCAAAAACTCTAATCTCACTACAAGGATTGTTCTCGCTTTTGCCGCTTCTCGACGTCCGTATCTTGCTGAATTCGCGCGTTGTGTCTTCCACGAGTATCACGTATGTTCATTTTCAGCCGTAGAGATGGAGGATCCTTTTTTATGGAACGCCGTGATCAAGTCTCACTCTCATGGAAAGGATCCGAGACAAGCTCTGCTCTTGTTCTGTTTGATGCTCGAGAATGGTGTTTTCGTGGACAAATTCTCACTGTCCCTTGTTCTTAAAGCGTGTTCGAGGTTAGGTTTTGTAAAAGGAGGAATGCAGATTCATGGGTTTTTGAAAAAGACTGGACTTTGGTCGGATTTGTTTCTGCAAAATTGTTTGATTGGGTTGTATCTGAAATGTGGTTGTTTAGGTTTTGCCCGCCAGATGTTTGATAGAATGCCGCTGAGAGACTCTGTTTCTTATAACTCCATGATTGACGGGTATGTCAAATGCGGATTGATCGAATCCGCGCGTGAATTGTTCGATTTGATGTCAATGGAGATGAAGAATTTGATATCTTGGAACTCTATGATAAGTGGGTATGCTCAGACATCAGATGGAGTTGACATAGCGTCAAAACTGTTTGCTGAAATGCCTGAGAAGGACTTGATTTCATGGAACTCAATGATCGATGGATATGTAAAACACGGAAGAATCGAGGATGCTAAGGGTTTATTCGATGTGATGCCGAGAAGAGATGTAGTTACTTGGGCTACCATGATTGATGGGTATGCAAAGTTAGGGTTTGTTTATCAGGCTAAGACTCTGTTTGACCTAATGCCTCATAGAGATGTTGTGGCATATAATTCTATGATGGCTGGTTATGTTCAAAACAGGTATCACATGGAAGCTCTTGAAATATTTAGCGACATGGAAAAGGAGAGTCACCTGTCACCCGATGAAACGACTTTGGTAATAGTTCTTTCTGCAATTGCTCAGCTTGGCCGGTTATCGAAAGCCATGGATATGCATTTGTACATTGTGGAGAAACAATTCTATCTAGGTGGAAAACTCGGCGTTGCTCTCATTGATATGTTTTCGAAATGCGGAAGCATCCAACACGCTATGTTGGTTTTCGAGGGAATCAAAAGCAAAAACATTGATCATTGGAATGCCATGATTGGTGGTTTAGCTGTTCATGGTCTTGGAGAATCCGCATTCAATATGCTCTTGCAGATCGAGAGACTCTCCATAATACCAGATGATATCACCTTTGTTGGAGTTTTAAATGCTTGTAGCCACTCTGGATTAGTGAAGGAAGGCCTTCTCTGCTTTGAGCTCATGAGGAGAAAACACAAGATAGAACCAAGGTTGCAACACTATGGGTGTATGGTCGACATACTATCGAGATCCGGAAGTATAGAGCTAGCCAAAAACTTAATAGAGGAAATGCCAATTGAGCCAAATGATGTCATATGGAGAACGTTTCTCACCGCTTGTAGTCACCACAAGGAGTTTGAAACGGGAGAGCTTGTCGCGAAACACCTTATTTTGCAGGCTGGCTATAACCCGAGCTCATATGTGCTTCTCTCTAACATGTATGCTAGTTTTGGAATGTGGAAGGAGGTTCGTAGAGTTAGAACGATGATGAAGGAAAGAAAGATAGAGAAAATTCCTGGATGTAGTTGGATTGAGCTCGATGGAAGAGTCCATGAGTTCTTTGTAGATAGCATTGAAGTTTCCAATACATTGTAGATAAAACGATTGCGCAGCGATATATTTTCCAAGAGCTTTAACCTAATCTGCATGCAATTCCTTGCCCATACATGAAGACAATGTCACAACATATTCACATGTTGGTTGGATGCAGCTAAGATATGTCTAAAAAAAAAAACTTCCCACAAGATCACCTAAATTTCTGAAAAGTGATTGTTTTTACAGCCTAAGTACATCAGCTACAGTTACAAGGAGATAAGATTGTTACACTGAACCTAAAAACAGAGTTAACATCAGGGGAATGGTGATAGTCTGAAACCTTGGTATGCCAATTCTTGGATAATTAAAAGCAAGAATCTTGTTAAACGGAAACTAATAATTCGCTGCGAGTGTGTTCAGTTCTTGCATAACATCTTCCATGGATGGTCTCTGGTTTGAGGATTCATGAGTGCAGAGAAGACCAAGTCTAGCGAGCTGAGCCGCTTCTGCTTCCGGGAAGTTTTTTCGAAGATTTGGATCCATGAAGTCTTCATTCAGTCTTCCTGACTCTACAGCTTGTAAGATCATCAAATGGCTGATTTTGCTTTTACCACTCAGTATCTGCAACAGAATCATACCAAAGGCATAAACGTCACTCTTATCAGTAAACCTCCCTGTAGTTATGTACTCAGGAGCTAAGTATCCCATTGCCGCACTTGCTTTGAGCTTCGAGAAAACGATGTCATCCGTGAAAAGCTTGTGAAGACCGGAATCCGCAAGAGAAGGATTATACCAATGATCAATGAGAATCTTCTCTGCAGATAGATTCTGGTGAACTATTGCAGGCTTGTTTCCATTTTCTCCATGTAGGTAAACAATCCCTGAAAGAAAGAAAAAAAAACAGACATCAGATTTTTACATGAAAAAAACCGAATTTGGTTTGCGAAAGAAGGAATCGCAGAATCCAACCTCTGGCGATGCCATTAATGATGGAAACTCGAGTTGTCCATTCAAGAACCTCTCCAGTCTCATCCTTCACATCAAGATACTGCAAAAGATTACCATTGGGGACAAACTCATAGATAAGGAAACATTCTCCACGTCCTTTTGAGCAGCAGAATCCTCTCAACCTCACTAAATTCTCATGCTTCAACAATGTCAGCATCTTCAACCCTTTGAGAAACTCGGATTCATCGGATTTACAGCTCGATTTCGCTATACATTTTACAGCTGCAACAGAACCATCTCTAAGGATACCTTTATAAACCGAAGAGACATTACTCTTCCCCAACAAGTTAACCTCAGAGAAGCTTTGAGTAGCTCTCTCAATCTCCTCAAGATTGAACATAAAGCTCTCAAAGACTTCTTGAGACAATGCACTGTTGTTGTTACTGCTCTGTCCTCGTCCTAACGGATCCCAACCACTTGCATACTCTAGGCTGATCAATGGAGAAGAGCTTTTTCTTCTAGAAACTTCTTTGAAGTTGTACTCAGTGCTAATCCTACCGTCCATTGCATCAAGACTGCTTCCAATCTTTTGTTTCCTTCGTCTGTACCATGTGAATGTTGAACCACCAAAGATTGCAACTGCGAGGATTGAACCCATAAGCCCCATGACGATTCCTAAAGGTGAAGACTTTGAGGTTTTTGATGAACACCCGCCATTGTTGTTACTGCAATTGCTTCGTTGTAAATCTGCTGATTCTGGTTTCACGTCAACGGTTGCGAAATTCGTTGGGTTTGTTGGGTCTGGCCGGTTTAGGTTCGGACCGTTTAAACCGGTGCAAGCTTTCAAATCCGTGAACCCATCTCCGCATAAACCGTGATTGTTTGAATACTGGAATCCATTGTTTAGCCTCTTCAAAGCTATAAAATCCAAAATAATCAGAAACAAGTAAGCAAAACATTAAGAATTGATACAGTTTAAGTTCTCTTCGATCCGGTTTTTGGATTGGTTTTCGGTTCGGTTAAATCGGATTGGTCAACTCTAATCATTCAGCAAATTGAAGAATTTATAAATCTTGAGGAAAAAGAAATTATTACCAAAGGGAACGAAGCCTGAGAAAGAGTTATTACGAATGTCGAGAACTTCAAGCAAAGGAGCACCGGCGAGTTTCACCGGAATAGGACCAAAGAGATTGTTGAAGCTCAAATCAAGTCTTGTCAACGTACCAATATCACCTAAACTCGCCGGAATGGCGCCGGAGAGTTGGTTATATTGTAGAGCCAAGACAGTTATCTTCTTAAGAGAACCTAACTGTGTCGGTATACTTCCACTTAACTTGTTGTAACATAACTGTATAACTGCATAAAAGCACACACAAAAAAAAAGTGTTATGAATAAATGCAATTATTTTTGCCCTTATTTTTGTTGAGTTTTACATTTTAGTTTCAAAACCCCAAATAAAATTGTTTTTGAGTTTTGCATAAAAAAGAGTGAAAGATGAAGGAGACAATAGAGAGTATCCCTAGTTTCTAGGAGACTCAAAAATCTAAAAACTTGAATGGATGATTAAAACAAAACAAAAAACAAAATTCTAAAATCTACACCATTAATTAAAGACCAAAACTCTTTTTAGCTAGTTTTAATAAACCAAATTTGACCCACTTAAGGTCTTTTAGCTGCAATAAATGAAATATAGTGAGTGAGGTTCATGAAGAACACATGCATAAATAGACCGACCTTGTAGATTGTCTAAGTTTCCGATTTGAGGAGGGATTTCGCCGGAAAGATTGTTGACATTGAGGTATAAATCGGTGAGGAGAGGCAGATTTGAGATATCTTTAGGAATATGACCCGTCAAGGAGTTGAAGTGAAGGTATAAACCGGTTAAGCTAGTGAGAAGACCGATTGATGGAGGGATAGTTCCGGTGAGACCCATTCCTTGAAGAGAGATGTTAGCAACACGGCGGTTTCCGTCGCAAGCGACACCGTCGAAGGAGCCAGAGGAGCAAGGGTCGGCGTCGGGAGTCCATGAAGTGAGGAAACGTTTTTCAGGGTCGAGAGAGGATTTGATATCGAGGAGAATGTCAAGCTCTGAGGAGGAAGACAGTGAAGGAGAAAGGAAGAAGAAGAAGAGGATGAGAAAGAGTGAGAGTGGAGAGGCCATGTTTGGTTGGAGAGAAGAGAGAGAGATGAGGAAGAAAATGAAAATGACTCTCTCTCTTGTGGTTTTGAAGCAAAAGTTTTCTTCATTGTACTTATAATATAATAGTTTTTGATTGTTAATACTAAAAAAGTTTAAACCACAAAAGTATAAATATCGTAATCATAATAATAAAAAAAGTTTGTTCAACTATGAAAATGTAAAATGATAACATAGACAACTATATTGACCATAACTCTAATTTTTTATATATATAACTGTATATAGACTAATTCCAAAAATTGTATCTATTTAAGACATTCATAGTAGCTAACTATATGTAATTGTTATTGCAATGAAAGTATTTGAACCATAATCCATGTGTTAATCTTATGATAAATTGTTGAACCACTTGACTACCATGAGTTGATAAATAACAACAAAATAAAACATGTTGTCACTTTTTAATTACAGATATTACTGATCAAAATCGACATAAATTTTTTTAAAATTTGTGGGTGCGATCGGTAAGACATGTAAGAATTTTCTCTAAAAAAATTTTCGTCACGGTTAAGAACTGTACTTAGTTGTTGCGTTACTAAGACCATCATTAATGGTAGTCTCTTAGGAAGATCTTAGGAAAAAATCTTAAGGCCATGCGCAATGGCGCATTTTCTCCCCGGGTGTGACCATTAAAGTAATCGAAAATAAGAGAAAAGTTGTCTCTCTCCTCACACCCGGGTGTAACTTTACACTCGGGTGTAAGACACTCTCTTTCATTCTCTCTCTCTCTCTTTCTCTCTCTCTTTTCTCTCTCTCTTTAAATTATAATAAGAAAAAAAATTTTACACCCACACTCACACTTACTCCACTGTAGGTGCTCTAACTTAAAATAGATAAAAATAAAGCAAATATCTTAAAATTGTTAAGAATGTCTCTTAGCTAAGAGACATTTGGTGGGTTAAAAAGTGTTTCTTAGCTAAGTGTCCATCATCTAATGCTAAGAGCCAATAGTAAGAGACTACCAATAATGTTGCTCTAACAGTTTTTGCTACAATTTTGATTGTTTGTTCATGTTACATAAAGTATTCTACATTCTATCAGCTTTTTTTTTTGACTGATTAGTAGCTTCTTTGAAATTGAAGGGAAACAAAAGAGGAGTCATGAAAATTGAAAATATTGAAGTCCACGAGTTCATTTCATTTTCTGTACTTTATACGGTAAAGATTACTTTAAAAGACTTTTCAGAGGAAAACAATAATAGTTAGGCGAATCTTAGCTTTTTTTCAAAATTGTAAATGATACCATTCTCTCTGATTTAATGGTAAGAAAAGTTGTTTCTTTTTCAGTGCACCAGCTATAAAATCGTACTATTCCATACTATCATTGTTTTAGCTTTTCATATATCCATTGAAGTTTATGTTAAGAAAGAAAAAATCCATTAAAGTTATTGCTACCATTAATTAGTCTTAACAAAATTGTTGGATATATGTTTTCTTATAAATTTCTATTAATAAGCGAATTCATAAATTGTTAATGACCATATTTACTGAAAACATTAAAATTGCGAGGTTGGGATTTCAGTTAGAAAAAAACTAGTATATTTAACTAAATTAAACCTCGAGTTTATCCGATCATGAATCATCATCAATAAATACCCTTAGATATTATATGTACAATAACCTGATAACCAGCTTTATATGTTCACATGGAGAATAAGGTACAAAGATAAATGGGATTTTCTTGATATTATTCCATTAAGTTACTATATTTGATTCTAATAATTGTTCCATGAATAAAACAAATAGTAGCTTATATTTTATATTATATAATAACAAAATAAAAAGGTAAAAAGGCATCCAAGAGGCATGGGGCTAAGAGTACATCAAATGGGACAAAGAAGATGATGGAGGCAAGTCAATAGAAGCAACATGTGAACATTTTTTTAACACAATTAATAAACAAATTTAAGTAAAAAATTTCAAAACATGTGAACTTGTCTCGAGTTAATGTTTTTGCTATCTTCTATATCTGATCATAGCAAAAGGTAAAATGGACCAACACCTCGCTCTCCTCTAAGTGTAACATGTGAATTTACAGAAACAAGAAAGACATAAAGCTAGAGAATAAAGCAAAAGGCTATAAGGGCTACTTAAAAGATATTCCATTTTCTCTGTAATTTTCTTACTTCGTGGGTAGTGGTGGATGATATTTATATATAGGTGGTGGATGATAGATGTGTGTGTATTTCATTATCTATATATAGAATATTAGAATGGAATCATTGTTTGAGCGAGTGTGAGAATTATCAAAAATAATGCGTCTAACTGTCTATGATAACTTAATTAGTGCAATCAAATCTCTATATGATGATGACATAGTGTTGATTAGACAATATTTGAGTTTCTAAGTTGATTGAATGTGATTTACTTTATTCTTAAAACTATAGTAATAGTACGTAAAACTCACTTGAAGCAAATAGTTTATGTCCAATTAGCCGACATACATCTACTAAATCACCCAAGTGGTAAGTTTTATAGCTTTAATTCATCTGTTTTTATTTGCTATTAAGAAACAGTAGTGTGATATCATTTAAAGTCACGCCTTTTATTTGGATCGTCTCTAGAGAAATCCCTCACACGTTATCTAACCCAGCCTGTCTCATTTTTGTTTGGATGCATGAGTACGATGTTTCGTATATTGTTACAAAAACTTTAAAATTTTATCAATAATCATTATAATTGTATGTTGGTACTTGGTAGGCACCGCATTTTACTGATTATCATCCTTGTTTTGTTTTCGAGCAAAACTATCTATCTTGTTTTGCTATATATATCGTGTCTTATTGTGAGTGGTAATATTATTTTTTTATGTTATAAATAATGTTGTTTTCCTTCTCGTAAATTTAGACGTTGAAAACCGAAACTTATGTGTGTTGGATGTGTTCTCCGATTTATTACATCTAAAATTGGTCCAAACGCTATATGTCACATAGGCGTGCCAATTAATTATCATAAGTTATCAAATGCATCAAATATTTAGTTATATGATTATACTGTACTAATTAAGTGGTTTCGTCGTCCCATTTATCAAATTTCAATTCGCATTTGTGTTAATTAGTTAAACTATTTATAACTACAGTAAATAAGACTTTTTTTTTGTCATATTCAGAAAATGATAAGCTCCACTACAAAAAGTTCCACAAGCTGAAAACAATCAAATTTCAAATTGAGAGAATTCAAATATAAATAAATTCTTCTATCTCACCTAACACGGGAAGACAAAACGAAGTAGTAGTGTCCATGATAGAACACAGAAGACAGACAGTATATAATCTCATGATTACAATTTTTAAATATACAATAATATGTGAAGAACAGTTTATAGTTAATCAAATTCTTTCATGAAAAACTTAGAGAAATTGTTAAAAATGCCCCTTTTTCAATACCCCTTTTCAAAAATGCCCCCTTTGAGAGTCCATTTTTAAGTTTGCCCTCTTTTAATTTTTAATGACCATTTTACCCTTATTTGAAACAAAATTAGGTCCACAAAATACAAAATATTTTTTGGCGGGAAAAGTGATCCCGCAATTTTCCCGCCAAAACACTTGTAAAAAACCTTTAAAATACCTTGTAAAATTTTCCCGTAAAATATTTCCCGCCAAAAAATTTTCCCGCCAAAAAATTTTCCCGCCAAAAATTTTTTTTTGCGGGAAAAGTGATTCCGCAATTTTTTTTTTTGGCGGGAAAAATTTACAAGGTATTTTAAAGGTTTTTTACAAGTGTTTTGTAAGGTTTTACAATGTATTTTAAAAGGTTTTACAAGGTACTTATTAGGTTTTATAAGGTATTTATAACTTGTAAAACCTTATAAAAAACTTGTAAAACCTTATAACTTGTAAAAACCTTATAAAATAGCTTGTAAAATCTTATAATATCTTGTAAATACGTTGTAAAACCTTTTAAAATACATTGTAAAACCTTATAAATACCTTGTAAAAAACCTTTAAAATACCTTGTAAATTTTTGGCGGGAAAATTTTTCCCGCCAAAAATTTAACGCCAAAAAAATTGCGGAATCACTTTTCCCGCAAAAAAAATTTTTTGGCGGGAAAAATTTTACGGAAAAATTTTACAAGGTATTTTAAAGGTTTTTTACAAGGTTTTACAAGTGTTTTGGCGGGAAAAATTGCGGGATCAATTTTCCCGCCAAAAAATATTTTGTATTTTGTAGACCTAATTTTGTTATATTTCCTTATATATTTGTGATATATTTTATTAAAAGAAGGGTAATTTAGTCATTTTGTACATAAAAAGGGGTATTTTTAAAAATGGACAGCCAAAGGGGGCATTTTTAAAAAGGGGTATTGAAAAAGGAGCATTTTTGTGAGTCTCCCAAAAACTTATATACTTGAGTCAAACAAATATCATAAAAAATGAGATAAACATTTAGAATATAATTATGAAAAATACATTTGATTATTGTGTAAATAATTTCAACTCTTAGCTTTGGCGGCAGATATTTTCGTTCACATAGTTGACAACTGTATGCCATTTTCCGCATAATTCGTCACTCGATTCATGGTTTCTAATGATAGACCATAATGTTCCACCCCAATACCATTTAGTATAGAAGACTATATATCAAACATGTAACATCTTTAACATTTTAACAAGTTGATGTAGACCAAAGTAACATATGCATAATTTGTGTGAGTTCGTAGTTTTAGCTATTTGATATTATTTGAGTAAAAGTTAAAACGAGTTTAACTGAAAATGGTGTAGAAATATAGAACTAGTTCAAAACAATTTTAATTAGTCAACATTTAAGAGAAAATTTTACAAGTATTTTTTCATGTACTTTATATATTTATATTGACTAGGAAACAGTATAAGAAAAAAATGATATGAAATGTCTGCATCACAGAAACCGAGTTTTGTTGGAGACCACAAAAAACCAAGCAAGTCGAAGACAAAATTGAAGTATGAAGTTTTAAAAGCATACACTAATTAATTAATGATATTATATTCATTCTATGCTAAGTAAAAAGTCGAATACGAGTTTAGTTACAAACATATCACGTGACCAAGACAAATGTGCACTTTAAATTAATTAACAATAATCTCATCGACAATACATATCTTTACAAGTTTTCTCTTTTGCTTTCACGGTTCTCACTCTTATATTCTTGCGTTTCTCTAAACCTTTTTTTACAAGAAATTTCTTGATATGTTGTACCATTCTTTTACTTTAAATTCTGACATTATGATACAATCAAAGACTAATAATACATTAAAAGGTATTGATAACTGCAGCTTAAAAGACTAACTTTAAGCATATGCATAATTACAACTTTTCAGACAAAACTTGCAAAGAAAAAAAAATCTTTTATTGCTCTTGATATTTCTTTTGTATAGTTGGGCCTTGAAACCTCCCAACGTTAAGTACCGTAAAAGGCTTTTTATATCAGTTGGTTTATTTCTGCACACATAGGTTCTCATGTCTTTGTACAACGGAAACAACATAATCTTGAAAGTTTCCATAAACTGGCATATGTGCAATTGAAGACATTGAGACCATTACATAATCAAGGTTCACCAAGAATCGACACAATCATTGTCATAGAATCTTGTGAATCTTCGCATGATGTTGAATTATATGAATCAGAAAGGTATGGATTGCCGATCAGGCCAAGACTCGATCTTCTGGAAGTAATCGACGGGCACTACTCCATCAATGCCTTCAGTCAAAATCACTTTGTTGTCTGAAATGTAGAACGCAATCCCATCTGGATGGATCAAAAGATGAACTTAAATGTTGAATCTTTGGAGGGCATATCATTTTTTTTAATACAGAGAATTAATGTCTCATACTAAAGTAATACCTTCAAGAGCTTTCTTCATGTCGAGGAAGATGATAACATTTACATTCCTTCTCATGCCTTAGCCAAATCATGTCATTATGGAAAATCAGATAAATGTGCATATACAATAAAATGCATGAACAACAACAATAGGATCAAATCTTACCACTAATCACTTCACCATCTGTTGGTAATCCACAAGAGAAGTGAACATGCATTCTATTCATGCGCTTTAAGCCCGATGCTAATATGGATTCCAAATTCTTCCTATAAGTTCCATGTACACACACTGCCATTACAGAAATTCAAATGAACACGAGCAACTACGCGAGTCACACATAACAGAATTCCCAAGTATGTGTCCTACTAATACCTGGAGCTTCTTCTGGTGACAGTATTGGTTTAAGTAACTTTTCCGACTCAACCGTCTGCGCACAAAAACATAAGAGGAAGCTAAAGAAGCATATTGATCAAAACTAGGAGAACAAATGAGGATGGTCACAACTTTCAACACAATGAGGATGGTATCAAGTTCTATTACCGTGATCGAGTGGCCTTGGTTAGCGCGAATCAAGAGCTCACCATTCTCATCGATGAGGCTAAACCGTTGTTTATTGTCCCTTCTCACAGCCTGCAAGTAAACGAAACCATCACAAACTCATCGATTCTCAAAACGTCTGCAATCAAAAATGCTCGTTGACCAAACTAACCTCTTTAATTTCATCAATCGTGTGTGATTTCAATTGAATATTTGCAGAAGTTTTCAAATTCAGGTTAAGTAAATCTTCAACTTTAACAAAACCATCACCTCGCATATTCAATCTCAGCTCAGTAGCCATATGTCGCAATATTCTCGTCCTGATTATCAATCCACATAGATTCAAAAATCAAGCTAATTCTCTAACATATCGAATCCAGTAATGATCGATTGCACTTACAAGAGTCGTCCAAGGGCATCAATTCTATCTTTTCCGCCTCCACCGCCGCCACGTCCCTGAGGTCTCCGTCGATCGTTATCTCTCTCATAGCCTCCTCCTCTACCACCGCTACATTCATCAAAAGTCAAACACCAAACCTCACATGAAAAAACGAGGGAAAATTAAAAGGGATGTTGACTTTTGAGTAATTTGAAAAATTCGAATTCACCTTCGACTGGACTGAGCGAAGGAAGAGAAATTAGATTTTCTAGAAGAATTGGGATTTGAAGCATCCATGAAAGCAGAAGCGGGAGACGATTTCGAGAAGAAGACAGAGCTGCTCAAAGTCAGAGTTGGAAGACGATGGCGACAGAGACGCAGCAACAGAACAGAGTTATACATTGCTGAAGCAATCACCAATTAACCGGTTCGAAATCATAACTCCGGTTTAAATCTATATCATGTACTGGGCCTTTCTGTTATAAGGCCTACTTTTAATCTGTTATGATTTAAATTAGGCCCACTTATGAGACGGCATACTGTTCGATAACAGTGAAAGTAAACGTCACGCAGTTTGGATCCTTCCCGGTTAGCTTTTTTCAGGCGATCAGTACTCAGTCCTCCTCCCGGCAGCTTGTTTATACGATATTAATGGTTTCCCGGAGAGATTATCGGAGCATGAGATCTTGTAGCGGATGGCGTCGAATTCTTTTACTTATTCCTGTGCTCTTTCTTCTTCCTCATCTCTCGTCACTTCTTGATTTTTCTTCGGATTCGGCTAGGAGGAACGATGCGCGAACCATTCCTAGTAAGAAATTGGATCACCTTGTGCTCGGTCCTGTAGCTGGACAAGGCTTGTCGGATCGATTGCATTGCCGAGGTTAGATTTTGCATATACTTCTATTTTTAGGTTTGCTACAATTAAGCACTTTTGTATAGGCACAGATCTGAGCAATTTTGTCCTGCAATTAGAACACATTGTCTCGTCTCTATCAATCTCAGGAATTTGTGTTTATAACCATTTGACTGAGATCCATCATTCACACACTTAAGGCTATTGTTTTCATGCTCGGAATATCTCATTGTAAGGCTATTTAGGAACTGCAACTTGATGCACCATTAGAATGGTAAGTTGGTATTGATAGTGTTTTACATTTTCATATTTGTTTAGGCACGAAGGCTCTGAACAAGACTCATGGTTCAACTTCTCCTGTGTCTGGTGCTGGAAATGGTGTTTCTTTTGTGACGGTGTTTACTGTTTATAATACGTCGCTTGGAAATGCGAAATCCTCCAATATGGTTTCTGTTGTTGGGAATGTTACCTACAGCAAGCCAGAGAGGTCAATGGCAGTTCTAAATGCATTTGCCTACTTCATTCAGGTAACTTGCTGAGTTTTTCCCCTATATTTAACAGTTTTGGTGTTTCTTAGCTGCTGCGTTTGCTATCTCATAGACTGATATCTACTGAAAAATCTGTTTTTGTAGGTGACTATGCCCAAGAGCAATGTTGTCATATTGACTGATCCAGCTTCTGATCTCTCCATCCAACAAAGCAATGTGATGGTACAGCCTGTTCAGGGTGATTATTCACGGGGTAACCTGATGCTTCAAAGAATCAGATCTTACATTGTAAGAGCAAACTCGCACTGATACCTAGGTAGAATAAATTTGTTGCTTTTGCCTATCTATCTCTTTGGCATCCATTTCTTTAAGAGCCCGCCTATTTTTTCTTCTTATCCATTTTAAACGTGTTTGCTGAAGTATCTGAGGTTATAGAGAGAATATGAATGCTCACTTGGGTCGTGATTTTTGTTAAAATTTGGCTCTGCAGACCTTTCTTGAGATGAAGCTCGAGAAGAATGAGGGTGGGATAAACCACTATATCTTCACTGATTCTGATATAGCTGTGGTTGACGACATCGGGGCTATATTTGACAAGCATCCAAGCTTTCATCTAGCACTCACATTCAGGAACAATAAAGATCAGCCGCTGAATTCAGGATTTATAGCAGTGAGAGGCACACGTGAAGGGATCCTAAGGTTTGCATTTATCCTAAGTAAACTTGAAGCAAATCTCTTATAGTTAAAGAAGTACTTGTCTCAGCATATTGATGACTTTTTGTTCATGTGATCCCAATGCAGGGCCAAAGTTTTTCTTGAAGAAGTCCTAAAAGCTTACAAAACTAAATACATGAAAGCTTCGCGTATGCTTGGTGATCAATTGGCTCTGGTTTGGGTTGTTAAATCTCATCCTTCTTTTGATGCAAAGAGATTCACAAAGCCACAAGCTTTCACACAAGAGATAGCTGGAGCTTCAGTGTTATTTCTACCATGTGCTCTATACAACTGGACACCTCCTGAAGGTGCTGGTCAGTTTCATGGCATGCCATTAGATGTCAAGGTACTCTAAATCCCTTAACCATAAACCCTAAAATCATTCATCATATTCTCATTACTCGTTTTTGCAGATTGTTCACTTCAAAGGATCAAGAAAACGTTTAATGCTAGAGGCATGGAACTTCTACAAATCCACTTCAAACATTCCTGATATGTTGTGTCTTGTTCTAGGTAGTGGAAGAACTAAATACGATTTCTAGTGACGACTCTGTTTTTTTTGTGTAATCTCTTTTATTTGATCAAATCAACTACAACAGTTACTTACTCTGGAGAAGTAAAAATAAATAAATTGAATAAAAATTACCGAAATGGGTTTATGTGTTCAATCTGTTACAACAAATACCCAAAATTACTCAAATCAATAAGCAAACAAGAAATCAAAAGATCATCAACCAAAAAAAATCATCTAGCGGCGGCTTTTTTCTCGCCGGAGTAATAACTCAAATACCATCTCACAAACTTCTTCAAACCGGTTTGCAAATCCGTCGTCGGTTTATAACCAAGCTCACGTTGAGCTAAACTAATATTAGCATGAGTAAACGGAACGTCACCGTTTCGTGGCATCTTAATCAAATTCTTCTTTGCCTTCACTTTCAATTGTCTCTCCAATATTCTCACCAGATCTGAAACCGGCACCGGCGACGTGTTTCCGAGGTTAAACACTCTCAATTGCGCCGGACCTCTCTTCTTCCCTCCACTTCCTGTACTCTTCTCCGCCGTATCTAGCGCCGCTAAACATCCTTTCACTATATCGTCGATGTAAGTGAAATCCCTAGCCACCGTTCCATGATTCGCCGATTCGAATATCGAAATCGATTTACCTTTTAGAATATCTTTAGTGAAGAAGAAATACGCCATGTCTGGTCTTCCCCAAGGTCCATACACCGTGAAAAACCTCAATCCGGTTAGAGATAATCCATAGATGTGGTTGTAGGTATGTGCGATCTCTTCGCCGGCTTTTTTAGTCGCGGCGTATAAACTCGCCGGTTGATCTGTTTTATCTTTCTCCGAGAACGGAACTTTCGTGTTGAGTCCGTAGACGGAGCTAGACGAAGCCCAGACTATAGCAGGTTGTGGATTCACAGATTTGCAGATCTCGAGGAGATTGACAAATCCGGCGATGTTGCTGTGAACATAAGAGCTAGGGTTTTCCATTGCGTACCGTACACCAGCTTGAGCTGCTAAATGCATAACGTGTGTGAAGGAGACGATCTTGAATAGCTTACGAAGCAATTCGACGTCGTTTATGTCTCCTTCTACGATGAAGATCCCACTTCTCTCGAGTAAAGCTTGTCTTGCTCGTTTCAGAGATGGATCGTAGTAATCGTTGAAGTTGTCGAGGCCGATTACGCCGTCTCCGCGGCGTTTTAATGCGGCGGAGACGTGTGTTCCGACGAAACCAGCTGCTCCGGTGACTAAAACTGTGATTCCGTTGGTTGTTGAGGTTCGGATTCGAGCTGAGGATCGGAGACGTTTTTCCCAAGCTGGTCCTCCGTAGCTGTTGGTTCGGAGTGAACGGCGAGATGGATCGGACGGTGAAGAAGGGTTAATGGACGGGGGAGATCGGAGGAAGAGTAGAGAGATGAGACAGAGGAGGAAGAAGGAGAAAAATGCAAACTTTGTGAGAGAAGATTGGAATCTGAGACGATGCAAGTAAGAAGATTTCTCCATCTTGAATTTGCCTGGGCTTGAAGGTATGTCGTCAAGACGCGACATTTTCTCGGGAAAGCGAAGGAAAAATTTGGGTTTTCTCTTCTTCTTCTTCTTCTTCTTCTTCTTCTTTGGTCTCTCTTCCTTTATTAGTTTTACTGGCAGCTTCTTAGAATCTTCAGGTTTCTTGGAGGGATTAAATTAAAACGAAGGTTTCTTTATTATGACTCCAAAATGAGAAACACGAATATTATCTTTTTAATAAAATATATTCGAGGATCAAAGTTTGGTTTATAACAGGGTGTGATAAAGAGAGTGTTTAAATTAGAACATGGGGATTGAAGATTTTAAGAGATCCAAATCAAGGGAAAATATGAAGAAGAAGAGAGTCAAAAACAGTTTTTTTATTATCTGTTTGACTTGAATTTTAAAAAAAAAAAAAAAGAAGGAAATGTGGAGATTTCTGTTAATAATTGATAAAACAAAAAAAAATTGACTGTAAAAGTTTGTTGACTCTTCTAAAGATTTGTTGTCGAGTCTTGAAATTTTGATTGGTGAGAATACTAATATACTCCAAGATTTTCGGGAAGCCACTCGTCCCAAATTTTTTTGAATTTGAACCAAAGTTTTAACTTTTGTTACTAATAGATTTGTTTTGCGGATAGTTGTTAAATAAGAAATGGACTCTAAATTTGAATAGAGGTTGTTGATGATCCTAAATCCTACTATGTTTTTACGTTTTCCTTGAATGGTGTAAGAGATATTTTGATTTTAGTGCTTTTGATCTAAAAAAACGAGTAATGATCTAAAATACATTTCCAAAACATCGACCATAACAATTTTCTAAATATGACATTTTAGTACAAGTCATGATCTTAAAGTGTGTAGGGTTAAAATCATGGTTTAGTTAAAACCTACTTTTTTAAAATGTATAAACAAAAAAGTTGTTGGAATCACAAGAATATGTTTTAGCTTTTATATATTTATTATTGCAAAAAGGCACAAGTGAATAAAAGGCTAATAATGGCACACAAAGACCCCATGTGAAGATTTGATTACATAAGACAAGAACATGTCCTCTTTTTCTTCTTTATGAATTGGCATAACATGTCCCCGTGCCTTTGTCCCTCTTTCTCCAAGATCTACTCTCTTGTCTCTTTCCCATTGCAGTTTAAATTCCAAGACAAAACAATAGTGAGTGACCCATTAAGCCCATCTTCTTGATTATAAGGGATTCAAATGGCAATGCCATTCGTTTGTGGTAGCGATTTGAATGTGTTAGATGTGGTTTTGGAGGCAAATTCCCATTGAACGCCAAACAGTTATTGTGATTTCGCAGAAAAAGGTGATTTTGTGAAACTCTACCAAATTACAAGATTCCCTGAAATCTCTAGCCTCAAAACAACAGAGAGTCAAACAGAGTTGGAGTCAAAACAGGCTGGGACACAATGGGCTTGGTCGGCCCATCATCGAAACACTAATTACAAGAGTATTAAAGACCAAAACCGATTCAATAATTGCATCTCAATTCTCACTCAGTTCAGTTACACGCAATAATGTTACAGAGGCAAGAAAGATGGAAACAGATGAGCTTGGATCAGAAGAAAAAAACAGAGAGTTTTTTGTTTAGTGCTTTGTGATTCTTTCAAGGACTTGGAAGTAGTCGGGGAAGGTTTTCCTGGTGCAACCGGGATCATTGATGGTGATTGGAACATCAGCACAAGCTGCAAGAGAGAATGCCATTGCCATTCTATGATCATCATATGTATCAATCTCTGCCGGTTTCACCTTTTTAGGTGGTGTTATCACACAATAATCTGAACCTTCTTCCACAGTAGCTCCCAGCTGAACACAAAAACCGCAAAATTTATGAGCGAATTTACTTAGTATGAGCACTATAAACAAAAAGAGAGAGAGAAGAATATTACCTTTCTAAGCTCTGTGCAAATGGCAATCATCCTTTCTGTCTCCTTTACTCTCCAGCTAGCCACTATATATATTGACCAAATAGAATTAAGTGACCATGAATATTGAGAAACCTTAAATTATAAGAGAGAGAGCTTTTTACTTACCATCTCTAATGGTGGTTGGACCGTCGGCAAAGAGAGCAACGACGGCAAGAGTCATGGCTACATCAGGCATTTTGTTCATGTTGACATCAATAGCACGCAAGTGTCTCATTCCAAAAGCATCTCTAGGTGGTCCTGTCACAGTCACACTGTTCTCTGTCCAGGACACTTTACATCCCATTTTCTCAAGGACCTCGGCGAATTTTACATCTCCCTAGAAATTCATCAGAAAAATTGAGCTTAGACTCTTGCGAATATGTTACATACAACTTGTCAAAAGATGAAACTTTGACCTAAACGAATTTCACTATAAACTTAACAGCCTCGTTGATGATTCAATGTACAAATATTACCTGCAAGCTGGTAGTTCCACAACCTTCAACAGTGACAGTTTCACCGGTAATGGCAGCACCAGCCAAGAAATAACTAGCACTAGAAGCATCACCTTCTACGTACGCATTACCAGGCGACCTGCATCATTTTACCGTATAAGTCATTATTTGGTCAATCTAAGGTATGTGATTTCAGAAAAGGAAGAGAATAATAACTCTTACTTGTATTTTTGCCCGCCCTTAACAAAGAAACGGTCCCAGCTATCACTATGCTCGGCACTAACCCCAAAACGTTCCATCAACTTCAATGTCATTTCAACATATGGAACAGAAATCAATTTATCGACAATCTCAATCTCGACGTCTCCAAGAGCTAAGGGAGCTGCCATGAGCAGAGCAGTCAAGTACTGACTACTAATTGATCCAGAAAGCTTCACCTGCAAATGCAAAAAATGTTAGATGTGTCAATAAAGAAACTATACAAGGAAAAATGTAATCAAGAAAGAAAACTAATACCTACTAAAAAAACCCAATTCCTTTTTACAAACAATCCATTGTCAACAAACGATGAAATCTTGTCAAGTAAGGCTATGATGAACACACAATTCTGCAAGTGTTTATAAAGTAAGTGTAGAGATTACAAATCACACATGCCATTTGCAAGATCTCACCTTTCCACCAGGAAGGCCACCATTAGCGTTGACACGAACAGGAGGGCAGTTAGTTCCAAGAGTACATTCAACATCAGCACCAAGCTGCTTAAGACCAACGACCAAATCCCCTATAGGTCTTTCTCTCATCCGAGGCACCCCATCAAGCACATAACTGGAATAAACCAATCAAAACGAAAAGTTAGCACAAACTCCATTCTCGAAACATCAAAAACTAAGAAGCATAAACTCCTTTAATCTACCTCGCGTTTCCACCTGCAGCAGTAACCGCGGCGGTAAGTGGACGCATTGCTGTTCCTGCATTACCGAGGTAAAGTTCGATATCACTCTTTGAATCTATGGAAGCTGGGAATATGCCGCCACATCCTTCAACTACGGCACGATTGTTTTCACTGTCAGTTTCCACATTAAGTCCCAATCTCTTCAACGCATCAAGCATGTAATTGATGTCATCACTGTTCAACAAGTTGTCCACTACAGTAGTTCCCTATAAAACCATAGCAAAATGGTAAAGTATCTATCTTTCATCTAAGTTCAGATTACAGAGAAGGACGAAACGAAGTGATATATACCTCAGATAGAGCAGCGAGAAGCAGGATCCGATTAGACAGAGACTTGGAGCCAGGAAGCTTAATAAGACCCGAGATTTCTCTAATGGGTTGAAGCACAATCTCCGACGCTTTCTCCGCCGTGGAAACAGAAGCCATAACCTTAACCGGACGAATCTCAGAACCAATTAACGTCATCCCACTCTTCTTCAACCCCCACGACGACGAAATCGGATAAGCTCGTGGATGCTTCAGAGAAACCGATAACGGAGATTTGCGTTGAGTGGATTTCGAGAGATTAGAGATAACACATGGGTTCTGCACACCACTGCAGATTCTGCTAACTTGCGCCATTGGAGAAACTTCAATTGAAGCAATCGGAAGATGGGGTTTGAGAACCTTCAATTGAAAATTTTGATCTTTCAACTATGCGTTCCTCCAATTACGCAAAAAAAATTCAGAAATTTGTTGGTCTAATCAGAGATCACAGAAATGAAATTTATAAACTTTCGACTACTTTGGCGGCTCTTTTGTGGGGTTTTGAAGGAGTTGGTGAGAAGAAGGCATCCGTCAAATCTTTCACCAACCCAAATGAATCTGCGATGGTAATGAGCATTTATCATAGCCAATTATAATATGACACGTGTTAAGTAGGTGTTTTCGTCAACTAGTCGAGAGGCTTTGGTTTTTGTTTGGTAGGTGAAAGAAGGACTATTAAATTGGGCCTCAAGAAAGATAATGGGCTTTTTTAAAAATTAATTTGCTTATTGTGGATTAATCTCCTAAATTTTTGTTTCCAAAAAAGCTTCCTATGTTATGTTTTTTGGGGATGTCGAAGCGCATCATTTGTTTTTGGTCTTGTGCACGTTGTATGTTGAATCTGCTATTCTTTTTGGAGTATTAACTAGGTATGATGTCGTGTATGAAAAATGATAATCTACGAATATTCCAAATATTGGTGGTGGTGGTAAGTACCTTGGTTTACCGGAACAGTTTGGTGGAAAGAAAAAGGAAATGCTCCAATATATACAAGGGAGGGTAAAACAAAAAATCTCTGGATGGCAAAATAAATTCCTATCCGAAGCAGGTAAAGAAACTCTGATCAAAGCGGTAGCCTACGCGATGCCGATATACTCCATGAACTGCTTCAAACTCCCTATAGAACTCTGTTCGGAAATCGACAGTATGATTGCTCAATTCTGGTGGGGATCCACATCGGAAAAACGAAAACTCTCTTGGGTCTCTTGGAAAAAAATGTCACGACCTAAGAAAGAAGGAGGGATGGGATTCAGAGATCTCCACCAATTCAATCAAGCATTACTTGCTAATCAAGTCTGGAAAGTGCTACAAAGACCACAATCATTACTGTTTCGCCTACTTAAAGCAAGGTACTTTCGTGATGATTCCATATTCACTGACTCAAGAGGAACTAAACCCTCATATGGATGGACCTCTCTCCGTTTTGGTGCTGAGCTACTCAAACGTGGTATACAATGTATCATCGGCGATGGAAATCATACAAGCTTGAATTCCGACCCGTGGCTGCCGACTGTTCCGCCGAGACCACCAGTAGTGTTACCATCCACAAAACCGGATCTAAAGGTGAACTCACTTATTGACAAACATATGAAACAATGGGATGTATCCAAGATCATCTCTCTGATCGATACGACAGACCATCATCTTGTCAAAAAAATATACATTCCAAGAGGTCCAGCGAATGACTCCTATATATGGAGCTACACTAGGAACGGAATTTATACGGTCAAGTCTGGATATTGGCTAGCTGTTCATCTCGCTGAATCCGAGGATAACCCAAAGCCACCTTTAGCTACAAGCCCTGACGTCGCTGCGAGCATATGGAGATTAAATATCACACCAAAACTAAAGCATTTCTTATGGAGGACAGCTTCCCAAGCCATTGGTGTTGCATCAAATCTGCGAAGACGAAACATACATATTAACCCGTATTGTTCCCGCTGCTGTGTTGAGAAAGAAACTAGTGATCATGTTTTCTTTTCTTGCAATTTTGCAAAATCCGTATGGCGTATGGTAGGCATCCCTCACCAGCTTTTGACCGATGCAAGTATACCATTGGAGGATAAGTTCAGATTCCTATTCACTCTTCACCACAATGCCCAACTAGACGATCTAACTCGATGTGTCCCGTTCTGGACACTATGGAGAATATGGAAAAGTAGAAATGATCTCGTATTCAACAATCGCCCAACAGATACACACGATGTCATCAAATTGGCCCTATCGGATACGAAAGAGTGGCTCTCCACATACGAAGCTCCTGAATGCACCAATGTGGTAACACAGCCTGGACATAAATCTCGTATCAAATGGCGTAAACCGACAAGAGGATGGGTTAAATGCAATTATGATGTTTCTCATCATGAAGGTAACACTGTTTCAGGCTTAGGATGGATAATAAGAAATTCTGATGGGCTTTTTCTGCATTGCGGAATGGGAAAATATGAAGGCAGTGCTACCATTGAAGAGGCAGAATGCACGGCCCTATTGTGGGCAATGCAGTGTACATGGGGCCTGGGATATAGATCGGTAGAGTTCGAAGGTGACAATCTGAACATTAACCGTGTAATCACAGGCAATGATCGGAATCTACGTCTTCAAAGTTATATGACGGACATCCTTCAATGGAAAACCTTGTTCACATCTGCCAAGATTGGCTTCCAATACCGCGAGAGCAACTTATGTGCAGATTTTCTAGCTAAGAGAGTGCTCTCATGTAATGAGTTATGGCTTTTGTATCATGCTTGTCCATCTTTTATTAACATTCTTGTAAGCCACGACATTGATTATGAAAGTTAATAAAGCTTTTAGAAGGAAAAAAAAAAAAAAAAAAAAGAATATATATATATATACAATTTATATTTATGATTTTCATAAAGCATATATGGAAAATCAAATTGAATCTTTTTTAACTGCCACAATGGTAAATTCGTTTTGCCTGTTTCTTAATTTTTCAAACTAGTTTATTCATCGATGCATTAGAGAAATATCATGAAAATTTGATTTATTGACCGACAAAATCATAGCAAATTTAAGGATGTTACATTGTTGTTACTTAATTAAATAAAACCAAAAAAAAAAAAAAAAAAAATAAATAAATAAATAAAACCCAAACGCATACAAATTTATTTTATTCGTAATAATAGTACTGAAGAATGAAAGCATAGCATGTCCCGTGCATTTATTGGTTAGCTCTCATGTTTGTGGCTTCGTATAATTAGCTCTTATCCGTAAATTATCTTTTGCGGTGAAATTTGCATATACGGTCATATCATTAGGCATTATAGATGAGATGTTGTGTCACTTTCGTTCCAAACAAATTTATGTTATCATTGTTTTTGAGGCGGTTTCATGCATGTACGAAACGTAGCTGATACTCTTATGGCGGTTGCTTAAATTACTATATAGATAGTTGTGACTCGTGATATAATATTTCTTTACGGGAAGTACTGTTTAGTGATATCTACAACAAGACTTCGGAAGTTTATTGATATTTGCATAACAATCTAGCTGTCGTCTCTTGTCCATATTTCTCTGTCACAAGTAATCACTAAGAAAAACTGATTTTCTCTTTCTGTATTTTAAAAAAAAATCTGGTATACTCTGTTTAGTTGACATGTCACTTGCATAAATCAACAAAAAAGTTTATGAAATCATTTGTGTTGGTCTTGCATGTTGTATGTTGAATTGAATCTGCTATTTTGGAATATTAGCTACGTACTATGCGATAATCTGCAAAATACTGTATCATAAATCAAAGTTGGAAGAAAAATATTCAATTCTTATTTAGTATAGATTTTCAAAAAACCATATACGGAGAATCAAATTAAACCTTTTTTAAGTTCCACAATGGTAAGCTTGTTTCTTACTTTCTCAAACTAGCTAGTTGATGCATCGATGCATTAGAGAACTATCATGAAAGTTTGAATTATTGACCGACAGACTATGACATAGAGACGCAACGCAAAGATAAAGATAAGCAAAGTTAACCGCTTAAGAGTACCAATAAAAAAGCAAAGAAATTAAAAAAAAAGGCTCATGCATCATTAATTGGCTCAAGGTGAACACCCAATTCTTCGAGAAATTCCGAAGATCTTCCAAAGAAGCCCACTATCTTATGACCTCTCTCTTGCAAAACGAACTTTTTGGCATATGTCACTGAAGAACCTGGGCCAATAGGATCGCGACCAAACTTGAGAGCTCTTCCCCTGTTTGTCTTCATTATCAGCATCGCTATGGAGAGAGTGTTATGATCATAATTTTTTAACATGCCTACTTCAACGGAGGTGACATATTCATCAGCATAGAGCTCATACTACAAAATAAGATAGGGTAAATTAAAACAAAATTAAATATATATATTTTTAAATAATGTTTTATAAGTTAGAAATTAATTAGAGACAGAAAGGACAAACCGAATGTGCGAACACTGGCGGCGACACAGCATACGTGTCACCCTTTTCCATTACTTGACCAAAACCTCCATAGAGAATGCGATATTCATAACCATCATCAACATACTGAAAATCGATAGCAAGGATACTCGGCCACCGACTAGCTGCTTTAATCAAACGGACCCTACCGTGTATACCATCATCCCAGTCAATCCCATTCCCAGTATCTCCACCTTTTACCACTGCAAATCTTCTAGGAGGTGCCACTGTGAAATGGGCTCCGAGAGCAAAAAGACGATTGAGATTTGATTTTCCCATGAAACCAACAAGTTTTGTGTAAACTCCCTCCCCTTTGATGATGAACTTAGCACCAACAGCTTTCCCAAACATCATAGACTCTCGGTTTTGTGATGTTTTAAATTTTAGAGAGGTCAATGCTCTCTCCGTCGGGGAAACATCAGCATCATCATTGTAAGTGCCCTCGATTGATGTAATGTATTCATCAACATGGAGCATGGCAAACTACAAGAAAAAAAGAAAGAAAACAAACTTCCGTTTGATTAGTGTAATTAAGAAATACAAACTTGATGTAGATTCTTGCAGAACATAAGTATTATTCCATCAAGCGGACTAAAAAAAGGGATTCATTAAATAAAAGAAATAGAAAAGAGAAAAGGATTCAACAATACCTCTTTTGGTTCTTCTTGTGGGTCCTCGCCGTGAGAATGAGGTATCAACTTCTTGATTTTATCAAAATCACCCGGTTGTGAGGTTGAGGGTACCCAGACATCTCCATTGCAATATTCGAACTTGATGTAGCTCAGATGGCCATCACCTTCTCCAACCCACAATTTACTCACACCTTCATTATAAACCCCATCATCCCAAGGAACACCGTAGCTTCCACCTTTAAGGTATGATGGCTTATGAACCGAAGAAACGGTGGCAAATCGAGCTCCTAATGAGTAAATAACATCACCGGAGCGTCCATGCAACCCAACAAGCTCTGTTCCATCCGCACTCAAATCGATGTCTTCTGTATCCATTGCTACTCTCTCAGTCGAATGCGTACCAAACTCCTCGGAAGATCTCCCGCGTGATGTCATGAACTGAAGCTGCAACACCGTATGGTTAACGTATGTGATGAAACGTCCGCTGATCCATGTAATATACTCGTTTGGGTAGTCGAGGGCAAAAACAGACTGAAGAAAAAAACAGAGCAAAACACATAAAACAGAATAATTAGAAAAACAGATGCAAACGAACACAGAGGGAAAGAGAGAGAGAGTTATGGATATCTTTTAAAAAGGAAAAACCTCTGTGATTTGTTGCCCCCTTATGCTTCCATGTTGTTTCTCCACGAGATTCCCATCTTTATTATTTTTCCTTTTCTTTTTATCTTTATCTTTCATATACTCTATCTTTAGATACGCAACGCCGTGAGTGGGGTGTTCTCCGACGATCACTTTGCTAACTCCATCATAAGCTCCATCGTCAAATGCTTTTCCTTTCTCCAAATCACCGCAAGGTTCCACATTCGTTGACATTTTCTTTTTCTTCCTGAAAGTTATAAAAATATATCGTTTTTATTATAGGAGAAGTAAAACTCAAGACTCAAAAACAATCTATAGATCAAAGAGAATATGGAGTTAAAAAGAAATAAAAATCACATACCTTTTGTTTAAAGATTCAGCCTTCTCTTTGACGATCTCTTCGCATTTACTTATAGTAGAGTAGTGGGGAGGGTTATAAGAAGAGAATGGCATTCAATGTAAAGCACACCAACTAAATCAGCTATCATCATTATACGCAATTCATTGAGCAAAATGCATTTTACGTATAGCAAGTAGTGTTCTAAGAAGAGAATGGCATTCATTGATCTCTTTGCCCCAGAAAAAAGAGAAGAGAATGGCATTCATTGTAAAGCACAACAACCAAATCAGCTATCATTATACGCAATTCATTGATCATTGAGCAGAATGCATTTTACGTACTGCAGAGTAGTGTTACAATAAGAGAATGGCATTCATTGATCTCTTAGCCCCAAAAAAAGAAGAGAATGGTATTCATTGTAAAGCACAACAACTAAATCATCAATCACTGTACGCAAGTCATTGAGCAAAATGCATTTTACGTATAGCAGAGTAGTGTTATAAGAAGAGAATGGCATTCATTGATCCCTTTGCCCCAAATAAAAAGAAGAGACTGACACTCATTGATCCCTTTGCCCAGAAAAAGAGAAGAGAATGGCATTCATTGTAACGCACAACAACTAAATCATCAATCACTGTACGCAAGTCATTGAGCAAAATGCATTTCATTGTAAAGTAAAATATACGTAAGTAAATATATTTGTCTCATGTATATTTATTTATTCCTGTTAGAAATTGAGCACTCACCACACATCGTACCTCGTCCCGAGCAATTACTAAAATACCTTTTACACACGCAAAAGATATCTTAAAAGCTTACAAGAACACAGGTAACAGGGTAGGTATGCATGAGTAAAGAGAGCAGCACTTTTACACACACAAAAGAAAGAATTTTTTTCTTTTTTTTACCATTGTCTTTGGTAATGCTCATTTTTTTCCCCCTTTTTCCTATGAAATTTGGAAAGTATTTAGTTGTTATCAGAATGGGTAATGAACTTTTTTGAATAGAAAGATTTTTTTTTCTGGTAAGAAAAAGAAAAAGAAAAAAGATCAACATAAAATTTTGGTAAAAAGAAAATGATAATTACTAGTATATACAAATTCAAAATCTAAGGCGATCTCTTGGAGCTAATTAATCCTCACATGAGTGTCTAATGATGTGGTACTGTCGTTGTGAAACCAATGCTTAGAGCATCTCCAACGGGGCTTCTCTCCTTGGGCTCTTAAATATTATGGGGTCAAATTTAAATCAAAATGGGTAAATAACTGAAGAAGCGAGTCTGATTTAGGAAGTTAAAGAACCCATAAGACTCGGTAACGTGTCACGTTCTGGTTGGTCGAAGGCATATTGTTTATGAAAGAGGAAAGAATAATTTCACGTCTTTCTCTCTCTCTTTCGACACTTCGTTTTGTTCATTTTTGTTAGTCGCCGAGTGCGAAATCGGAAGAGAAATCGGAGGCAAATGGTGATAAATCGGAGGGGTTTATTCACCAATCTCATCATCTCCATAAGTATCAGCATCGGGCATGATTGGCGAAGCTAATCGGCGAGTTTCGGAAGCCAAATCGGAGATTTGAAATCACCAAATCAGAGGGTTTCTTCACCAAATCGCCAGTGTTTCTTCACAAATATCTTTGTCATGGTACGATTCTAGTTCTCATGGTACGAATTCATGTATTTTTAGTATTTAGGGTTACTTGATTTTACAAATTAGAGTTTCTGGTTTTTTCAGATATTAGGATTCTTTGTTATTAAACGTGATTTGGATGGATCCTTTTCTACACTTTGTTAGTTTGTAATTGTGGGTTTTGGTTTGTTATGTAGCAGATTAAAGAAGATCAAACAAAAGACCATTTTACCTGCAAGATGACGAGATCGAGGGTGCTTGTCCATTATTGGCAGCTGCTACAACTTCTTGACATTGTTCTATATTGGTAATGATTCATTAACATCTTACTGCATTATAACTGTTTTTGCGATTTGAATATCAATATCAAAAGGTTTTATGATTTGGCTTGAGGTTAATTGATGTCTTTCGGACTGATTATAAATAAAGCAAGCGATGGTAGTTAAATTTGATCGATCTTCTTCAGGCTGTGTCCATGCAGCACGATGATGATCTATGGGAAGAGCTGGTTGAACAATGTCTAAACAAGCCTGAGATGGTAAAAACTGTTTTTGCGATGCGAATCACAATGGTTTACTTTTTTCTCCTTTCGTCTTTTTGAATGAGTTTGATGTTCTCTTTTCAGGTTTGGAAATGGAGTAGGACTCTCTGTTCTTGTCAAACATAGCATCTTGTCAGTCTTGTATAGAATTGGAATAGGACTCTCTGTTTTGGTATATTTGTAACTTGTCGGTCTTGTATAGAAATGGAGCATTGCATCTTGTTCACATTTTTGTAATTGGTTCTCTGTTTTGGTTTATATGTATCGTAACAAAACCATATATTGCATGATTGTACATGTTCTTCTTGTTTTAACACATTGTTTAAAAAAATTTAAATTTTTATTCTTAAGAACCCCATAAGCTAGGGATTCTACCATTGGAGGAGAAAAAGGTTAAGAACTTCTAATAAAATTCTTAACTTTGAACAAAGCAAAATTTAAACTAAAAAAATGGTTAAGACTCCCTCATGGGATTCTACCATTGGAGATGGTCTTAGACACCAACTTTAACCAATTGAATTTTCAGTATAATAAATTAAAAGAAACCGAACCAGAATACTTATCGCAAGTAATCTTCAATTTTCTTTACGAATAATTCAAATTCAAGTTCACAATTCTGTGCTACCAAGTTTGTTCTCCAAGTAAACCGCACACGCTACGCTTTCGTTCCTTCTTTTTAAATCGGATATAAGGCAAGTATAGTTGACATAAACATAAACATAGTGAAAAAAAAAAAAAAAACTTTCGCCCATTGTTTTATCCAGAAATTAAACAAGGATAAGAAAGATGGACTAAGAAGAGAACCAAAGCGAAATCTTCAAAAAGATAAGACAATACTGTAGTAAGTGAAAAACCATGAAGAAAAATGACTTAGTCAAAGACAGTAAACCCTAATAGGGAACAATGGAGAGTTTGTTCATAAGAAGATGATATTCTCAATCTCAATGTAACATGGAATTAAGGCACATGCATGATATTCTCAATGTAACCTGGAAAACACAAGATATCACGATCATGCTTCCCAATTCCATGGATACGTCTAAACCCAAAATCGGCGATTCCTTTGACTTGCGCACTTCTGCAACTCTCTTGGATTACATCGCAAGTCATGTTATTCCACAACTCCTCTTTCTCTTGAACCCACACACGCATCTCATCATACAAGTAATCATACTCTATTCCTCCAAATTTTCCTTGGTGATTTATAAAATTCCAACTTGTGATATCATCGTCTTTCGGTGCTTGAATAAACATCATCTTCTCGTATCTAAGATCGAATCTAGCTATCGTGTTATGTCCAACTCCGTAGTATATAGCACCATTGATGCAAAGTCCACCTTCTACATCTGTGTAAGACTCTCCGGTGGGGGTCTCGACCCTTCTCCAACATTCGGGTCGACGAGAACTCAGCGTTGAAACGACATGTTCTTGTTCTAGTTTTATACCTCTTCTACCGCGTTCGTGTCCATCTAACATCATCATCACACACAATACTTTGTATTCATCTTCCACCGGATCGTACCCGAGCCATGCGTGCGTGACTCTTCCGTTGGCTCTGACATCGGGCAGTATCAACAACTGTCTCGTGGTCGGATTACAAACAGAGATTGATGAGCCACGTGTGCAACAAATCAGACCGTTCACGGGGGGACATGTGATGTAGTAGGGGTAGGCGTCATATCTCTTGTTGTAGCCGAGATTAGAGATCGTCATGTCATGTCTTGCTACAACTGTGGACGATTTGTCGTGTTCAGGGGCTGAGAAGATGAAAAGCTTCCGGGAATCCAAGTGGTTAAAGCTGAAAAGGAGACGAGGCCGAGTCTTTGACCAAGTCAGAAAGGCGTCGGCAAAATCTTTACTGTCGATGATAGAGCGCCAGAGCATCGATACGGATCGGAATCTGATGATAGATTTCGCCGGAAGCCTCGATAGTATCTCGAAGGTGAGTTTAAGAGGAATGCTTGTTGTGGAGTTTCCGGCATGATCTAGGTTACGTGATGTACACGGTTGTGAATCTTCCATTGTGGCTTGGTATAGTTATAGCCCTAGAAACAGAAAAAGGACCAATATATATAATACAAGGCACTTTTGTTTTTCCATAAATAATTAAACAAAATTGGAAAGATGCAGGACCTAATTCCGTGCCATTCCAATTTTTTACCTATTTATTTAGTTCCATTAATTTTTATTTTTTTTTGCCTATGGAAATTGGAAAGAGTTCATCGCCATCAAATCAGATATGTCAAAGGCTTTTGACAGAGTAGAATGGAATTATGTAAGAGCTTTGCTGGTTGCTCTTGGTTTTCATCAGAAATGGGTGCAATGGATCATGTTCACGATTACATCTGTTTCCTTCACAGTTTTAATCAATGACAAAGCTTACGGGAACATCATACCTTCCAGAGGATTGAGACAAGGTGATCCTCTTTCGCCTTTCTTGTTTGTGTTGTGTTCTGAAGGCCTTACTCACCTAATGAACAGAGCTGAAAGACAAGGTCTCCTTAGTGGCATTCGTTTCTCTCCTGGTGGTCCTGCTATTCATCACCTTTTGTTTGCTGACGACAGTCTCTTTATGTGCAAAGCGGACAAAGATGAAGTTTCTGTTTTGAAAAACATTTTCAGGGTCTATGGTGATGCAACAGGACAAAGAATAAATTTTGATAAATCATCTCTTACTTTTGGAGCACGGATTGATGAGGACTTCAAAGTTTGGATCAAATCAGAGCTAGGCATAACCAATGAGGGCGGTGCTGGAACTTATTTAGGTCTCCCGGAGTGTTTCAGTGGCTCTAAAATCCAGCTTTTAGATTACATCAAAGATCGACTCAAAGCTAGGCTGTCTGGTTGGTTTGCTAGAACGTTGTCAATGGGTGGGAAAGAGATTCTGCTAAAGGCAGTTGCTATGGCCATGCCGGTTTATGCAATGTCCTGTTTCAAGTTGACCAAAACGACTTGTCAGAACTTGACAAGTGCAATGTCAGATTTTTGGTGGAATGCTTTGGATCATAAAAGAAAGACTCATTGGGTCAGCTGGGAGAAAATGTGTCTCTCAAAAGAATTGGGAGGTCTGGGTTTTAGAGACATAGAGAGTTTTAATCAAGCTTTGTTGGCTAAGCAAGCTTGGAGGCTTCTTCAAAATCCTACTTGTCTTTTTGCAAGATTTTACAAAAGCAGGTATTTTGATGATGAAGAATTCCTGGAAGCTGATGTGGGCGTTAGTCCTTCTTTTGCATGGAGGAGTATCTTACATGGCAGAGAGCTGTTGATGAAAGGCTTAAGAAAAGAAGTTGGTGATGGAAACTCTATAAGCGTGTGGATGGACTCTTGGATTTATGACTTGGCTACACGGCTTCCTTTTCAAAAGCATTTCTCTGTCAACCTTAACCTAAAAGTGAAGGATCTCATTGATTTTGATAACAGATGTTGGAATAGAGAACTGCTGGATCACCTCTTTTATCCTGCTGATGTGGAGATCATTTTGAAAAGGAAACCAGTTATTGACAGGGAAGATTTTTGGGTCTGGCTACACTCAAAATCGGGGGAATACTCTGTTAAAACAGGCTATTGGTTAGCATTTCAATCCAATAAGCCTGACATTTTAAGAGAAGCCAGCCAACAGCCTTCAATCAATGGTCTTAAAGAGAAGATTTGGTCCACTAAAACAGCTCCAAAAATTAAAATGTTCATTTGGAGAATCCTTAGTGCAGCCTTACCTGTAGCTGATCAAATCATTCGTCGAGGGATGCATACGGATACTCGCTGTCAGGTCTGTGGGGACGATGGGGAATCCATTAATCACGTCTTGTTTACTTGCTCTCTTGCCCGTCAGATTTGGGCTCTTTCTGGAGTGCCTACACCAGAGAATGGGTTTCAAAATGCTTCAATTTTTGCCAATATTCAATTTCTCTTTGACCTTCAAAAGAATTGTTTGATTGCTGAGCATGTTAGGAGATCTTGGCCTTGGGTTTTATGGAGGCTCTGGAAGAACAGGAACAAGCTTTTCTTTGAGGCCATTATTTTCTGTCCACTGAAATCGATTGAGAAGATACAAGAAGATACTAATGAATGGTTTCAGGCGCAATCACAAGCTCAGATTGGTGATTCCGCGACAAACAGCTTTGAGGAACCAAGCTTAAATAGTTGGGATCCTCCTCCTGTAGGTTGGTTAAAATGCAACATTGGAGCCGCCTGGTCCGGGAAAAAAAGATTGTGTGGAGGAGCATGGGTGGTTAGAAATGAACATGGGGTTGTTTTATTACACAGCAGGCGTGCTTTTAGTAATCTTTGTGAGAAAAAAGATGTAATGCTGAAGTGTGTTACTTGGGCTGTTGAAAGCATGCACAGTCACAAGTTGTCCAAGGTCATTTTCGTGTTTGAACCAGGAGACTTGTCTTCAGCCTTTGCAAGACCAAACGCATGGCCATCCTTTGCTTATCAGGTATCAGAATTAACTCATTTTTTGGAAAAGATTGGGGAATGGAAAGTCTTAGTGGAAAAGTATGCAGCAAACAGGGGAGCTTCTCTAATTGCTCAAAGTGTAGTAAAAGAGGATAGGTTACAATCTTATGTGGCTTCGGGGTATCCTCACTGGCTTCGAAGGGTTTTTGAGGTTGAGAGAATCTCCTCTTAATGTGCTGTTTTTACCTTGTCCAATCTTTGTCGGCAATTTTTGGTGTTTGGTACATACCCTTGTACCTAACATATAACCTTGACTGGTTTTTTGTAAAAGTCCTACTTCAGTTCAAAATATCAATACATAATCCTTTTCAGTGAAAAAAAAAAAAAAAAAAAAAAATTGGAAAGTGTCACTGTGCTATACATGCATGCATGAACTTTTGTTTACATATATTTTTTGGTCGGCCTACTTTTTATATTCGTTACTTAATTTTGTTATCAATCAAAGTATACCCTAAATGTTAATTATCGTTTTCAAGAATAGCAATTTTCTTTAAATAACATAATTGTGTATTATTACTATCGTTGTACTATTTGAATTAAAATTCATATGTTGATGAGAAAAAAAGCGAAAGATGTTGAAATTTAACATTGCGGATAAAGGGAATTACTCTTTAATTATTTTTCATTAGATTTCACAACTGAAAATATACATTTTCCTAATATTACTTACATTAATGGTCAATTAATCATCAGACAAACCAATCAATTAGACTACAAGTAGATGTAAGACTAGTTGAGACGATAGAAGTTCAACATTGCAGTTAACATGTCAGGATTACATGTTTTTGCGAAATAAAATCAAGCATAAAAGTACAATATAGAGTTGTTGTTTGCAAAGATCAAAACTATGTTAGTTACAAAAAAATAAAAGCATCCTTTTTTATTTGGACAAAGAAGATAATGCTTATGGAATGTCTCTTACTTCAAATGCAAACCTCAGTAGTACCTGTAAGATATTTTTTAGATAAGTGACTTAGCTGCTTCAACCATAGCTTCAATGGTGATACCAAACTCTTTATAAAGCTTTTCTGCTGGTGCACTTGCTCCAAACGTGTCAATTCCAATCGATTGCCAGAAACCTGATCGTGTTCACCAATTAATCAACCAGGGACGATGCAGAACTTGTTTCGATTGTCTCTACGGTGGCTGCACGAACGAGAGGGCGGAGAGAGCGACTTATCGTGGAGGCGTTGCGTCGACGGGAAGAGATGGTGCGTGGGGAAGTGGATCTGAGACCAGAGAAAGCTGGTATAGAGACGCAGTTTTCAGAGCCATTGTGAGAGATGGCTCGTGTAAAGGAGAGCTTGTGAGAGCACTAGAGAAGAAGTAGAAGCCATTGGATTCAGAAAGGACACAATCTTGACGGCTGAGATCCTCTACAGCTTTAACAATTTATTCCAACATAATTTTTTGGTTTAATTTTCAACTTATCATTGTTTTTTACGCTAATTGTTACATAATTTAATTTTAAGTCAAAAAGAGAATACACGTATAAGATGGACAATGCGGCATGGTTGGTGTGTAAAGCAAAAGCCATGGTCATGACAAGGGTAGGTGAAGAACATAATTGCTTTAGATTTAAGAAATACATTTAGTCACTAATTCACCAACTCCGGTATTGACCAGCCTAAAGCAGGCAGTTCAATCGAATCAAGAACCGAACCAAAGCTAAACCGGGGAAAGCTTACTCATGTCCTTGTGACTGTGTTGTGGACCTTGTGGTGTGTCGTTACATCATCTTGACCCGTTTGCTACTTGAGGAGGAGTTTCTTAGACCTCTACTGGTTACAGTGTATGAAGCCGAAGCTGAAGGAAGTGAAGGGGACTTATCAATATACGCATAACGTTCATCACCGTTCCAATACAGAATGACTCGGTTGGTGCATGAATGAGACCAGCTATCGCCTGAAAACAGCACAAGTTGAACATTTAAGAATCATAACAAATGAATGATGATGATGATAATAGCAAATTGAGATGGTGGATTTGAGTTTGGTTCACCTAATGCAAGCGCTAGTTGAAACGAGCCTTCAGTGTACTTCGTGGTCACTTGGTTTAGTAACACAACCTGTGACAGGACTTTAAGAGTTTATGATGGAACCTCTACTTAAGCTAATCCGGATTAAGTCAAGGATGTATTGTGAATTAGATCATTTCTTGCGGACATTCTTACCGCAAGTGAGAACTTTTTGGCAAGCTTCATGAACTTTAAAGCCATTTCGCTAAGCACTCGTGTCCTCTGGACTAAGTCATCAAAGTCCTGACGGAAATGAAACGTGATACTGTCTACAATCACAACTTTAACCTGCAACCATAAAAGGTTAAAGAGAGTCTTAGTGACCGCCGAATTATGTCACAACATACTTGTAGCAACAAGATCAATGGATTTCGGAGTTGAACTTAAATTTGTATACCTACATCTTTATTTTCAGAGATGAACTTGTCAAGATGATTGACCAATGCGATTTGCTCGGTGTAACTGCAGACACGGAAGTAGAATATGTTATCTAAGATATCTTTGGGTTTCATTTGTACTTGATTTGCTTGAAAATGTTTATGCATGTATCCTGTGTATTCTTCCATGTCCTCTACACAAGCTTCTGCTATTTGTAAAACACGCTCCACCATGAAGCTACCTTCTGTATCTGTAGCATACAAAAACTTGGGAATCGCAGGCATTAACAACCAAGTAAGTGATCAACCAAGCCATTAGTCATCGTTACTAAAGAAACATACCGATATATATAGCTTTCCCTCCAAGACCACCACACTCACGAGGAATCTGAACATTCACAGAGAGCTGGATCCTGAAATCAAATCAAAGTTACCGAAGAGTAAAACGTGTTGAGAGAGTAGAGGAAACCAGTGAAGCAGAGTTTACCCAATCTGAGTCTTGCCAATCCCTGGTACCCCACCTTTGAGAAAATAAGCAAACGACTAAATCACTTAATGTTCTCAAATTGGACCAGAGAAAGAAAAAAATGGAGATGACATACCAATCTCTGTAACATCCCTACAGCTTATTCCACCACCCAAAATGCTATCAAGATCAGAGCAAGATGTAGTAATGCGCGGCAAAGACTCCTCCTCGTGAAGCATATCCCAAGCGTTCTTTGCTCCTTTGTTTAGTTAGAAAGTTCAAAAAGAGAATCCTTCAGTGAATCATTTAAAGAAGAAAACCCCAACAGAGCTCCAAGGAGTTCATCAAATTACCATTTATGAGAGAACGGCTTCCATTGCAAGAACTGGATCCTGAGGATTGTTTAGCCAGCCTCAAAATCTCAAATGCTTCCTCCTCTGTGATATTTACATCTGCTCACACACCAAGTATATCAAAGATGACTCAAAACACACACACAAATAGAATTATTCCAGAAATAAGCCTTAAACAAGAGACTATATAGTATAATCAAAAGGTGATAAACCCTAAATCTCAACCCAGGACTAATCGATTGCGGTTACTGGAAAATCAGAGAAAAACAGCATTTGACTCCCAAAAACGAACAACAAATTATAATCTTCTGTGTAAGATTAGGATTTAGGGTAAAGCAGAAATTTACCTCGAGCGAGATCAGAAGAAGAAACCGAAGAAATCAATGACAGAGAAGCATAACCGGCCGATATCAGCTTTCCTCTAATCGAAGACGATAACGGTAACCTCCATGCCTCCATGACTGTAGTCGCGACTGAATCGCCGGCGATTTACGCCGCCCAAATCAATGTAGGAATGAATTAAAATGTAAAATGAACCAGACACGGTTTATATTAACCGGGACCACTGATTGAACGAAATTGATTCAATAATTAACCGGACAAGCGTTTTTTGTTCCTCAGTGAAAAGGTACAAAAAAAAAAATCATGAATTTTCAATTGCATATACAGTATATTCTTGTTTGAAGAGTTTTACTTTTACATAAAATTTCTACTATCGATCGGTAATTTCCATATTCATGGTTTTGTATTAGAGTAATGAATGAATTTAATCATTAAAAATCATAGAAATCAATTTATATACTTAAATGAAAAAAATTTATATAGCAAAGATTATTATAATATTGAATGTGTTTAATTACTAAAATCTTTACATACTTAAGTGAAAAAGTGGTAGATATAGTAAAATTGAATAAAAGTGAAATAATTGGTAAAATTTGAGACAAAAATAAATGATGAAACTCCATATGCATTGTCAAAATTTATGTTTGAGACCAAAAAAAAAAAACACTCATGGATATATATTTGTTCTGAATTATTATGAATATTTTATAAAGAGTTAGGTGAATTATGTGCATAGAAAGTTCACTTCATTCTTTTTTTGAATAATATGAGAAATGATGATTTTCTATGGTGGAATCGTATATGATATTAGATCATCTATTTGTTATTTTGCAGTTGAGTTTTCTAGACTTTGCTGGTTCAGAGAGAGTAAAAAAGTCGAACTGTGATGGTTGCCAATTAGAAGAAGATCGAAGTACCAACAAATCACTTTCTGCATTGGGTGATGTTATTAGGCTTTGTCTTCTTGCCAACAACATATTCCTTACATGAACCACAAGTTAACAATGTTAATGAGCAATTCATTGGGCGGCAATGCGAAGACGTTAATATTTGTTAATGTGTGAGAAGCTGAGTTCTGAATCTGAGAAGTTGAGTTCTGACTCATCATGGGAATAGGTGATGAAGAGCTTCATTTCTTGGATGTTGACTAGCGCCGCAACACAAGAAGCGAGCACATGAAGAGCATATCCGACCCGACACTCCACCAAGAATTCCACTTGTGGAGGTCAAGAAGGGTGCTTATCATTTAGATGGTAACAATGTTCTTTTTTCTATGTTGGTTGGTTGTGTTTTTGTAGGGTGGTTATTGCTAAAAAATTTGAAACTTATTGTCGAAAGAGTTTTTTTCTAAATATTAAAATTTAATTCAAAAACTACAAAATTAATAACATTTAAAACACTAGTTTTATTTTGATAAAATTGTCTCAATTCATATTTTTATAAAACTTAAACACTTAAAACAAATCTCTTTAAAATATTAATTTATGATATATAATAATTTATAGCATAAATAATTAGCAGTATATATTAATAAAATATCATAGTCCTAATATTATTAGAGGTCAGCACTGCAGAATTAAAATATCATAGTCCTAAAAATTCACTTACGAGAGTTTGATGGATTTTAAATTTGGAAAGATTTGGGAGAATTTGAAGGTGATTGCAGTGAATTTTTAAGATTTTAGAAAATAATATTTTTGATTTGGTGAGATATATTATACCAAATTTTGGAATATTTTGGAGTGCTACATGTGACTTTACAATCCAATAAAACTGTTATCATTAGTCACCATTCGTCACTTCCTCCACTCCCTTGTTTTCGTATTTGCCATCGATGTTAACCATCTTTGTGTATCATTCTAATTCAAGACATGGAGCATTTTTTAAAAAAACAAGCCTTTTCAGAATTAGAAAGGAGAGATAACGAGTTTAATCGTTTGATCAATCGTTGAAGACAGAGAACCAATCGATGTGAAGAATGATAAGGATTCTGAGGACCACGGTTTAGCTTAACCGGGACCACTGACTGAACGAAACTAAATTAACCGGAAAAGCGTTTGTTCCTCAGTGAAAAGGTTACAAGATTTGAGAGACAAAGGAAGCTACAAAGATTTTTAGTTACACGAGACTATCTTTCTTGCTACGTTTATGTTTGTTGTTGAAGAGAATCTGCTCGGATAATTGAAGTAAGTGACGGGTGAATCCGCGCAGTTCTCATAGAACGAGCTTTGCTTCTTCCTTTTGCATACTCCTCTCCAAGAGGCCACCTTGGTCGAAGATCATACTAAATTCATAACCCACAAAACATCAATCAGAAAGTTCAAATATTTTCATATTTCAAACAATAGAATATTTCAACGTATCGACCTTTGTTTAAAAACCGTACCACAAAATCATCAGGTTCAGTTGCAGGTGGAGGTGGATCGTACCTTCCTACACGGAAATGCTCGAGACCAGTCCAAGCCACCATTACTCCTGAAGAGATTAGTGAAATGTTAATTTCTTTTCTCTGCATCTCTAATTTGATCAGTAGGAGAATCTCAAACTCTGTTTACCATTGTCTGTGCAAAGGCTAGGAGGAGGGCAAACAAGTTTCAGGTTTTTGTTTTCGACAATGTTATTAAGTCGGAGTCGTACATACTTGTTTGAAGCAACACCACCAGAGACTACCTGATGATTAGTCAATATTAGTCTAGAATCGTATTGTCAAGCAAAACAGAGGGTTTTTTTTCCCTAAGCCCCACCATATGTTTTATAGAAGGCTCGAGTTCTAGTGCCCAGTCTATAGCTCGCTCACACTTTTCCTCCAGATGCAAGACAGCTACTCGCTGCTTCATATGAACTGAACATGTTTACAAATCAGCATTTCACTAGAACATTAAAACCGCAGATTGATTTCTACCTGGAAAGAAGCGGCGATATCAGCACGGTTTCTTCTGTCTTCGTTTGTTGCAGAAGAGACAGGACATTTAGCATCGCTGCAAATCCAGCAAACGACCAATATTTTTGTAACACAAAGCTTCAGCACATGTGACATAACTCGGATAAACAATTCCCAAAGCTGATTTTAAGATCTCACTATTTTACATTTCTTTGGCTTCAATGGCTAGCCTCACTTGTGTCTTCAAACCAGCATAAGAAAAGTTGCAATCTTTATGATATTTCATTGGAACCTGATAAACAAGGTAAACAACATCACATAAATGATGTGAACATTGAGTAGAACATGAAAAATATATCTAACCAACCAGTAAACTATTTTCACTTACATTAAACTTAACAGACTTTGCATCACCCTCCAGAGCAAGTTGTTCAACAGCTGGTCCACCACTCCTGCGCATATCAAGACCGAGCCATTTTGCTGTCTTGTCAAATGCCTCGCCTATAGCATCATCTACTGTAGTCCCAAGTTGTGTGTACTGACCAAGCTTATGCGCAAGAACTAGCAGATTGTGCCCTCCTTAATAAATAAAAAGTTGCAGCGCTGTTTAGATAGGAGAGGATTGTGAAACTGATTCTGCATAAGAAATAGACAATTTAAGCAATACCTGATATAAGCAATGCCATGAACGGAAAGCTTAATTCTTGCTCTACTAACCTACAAAGTCAAATCAAAAGCTGACGAGCAATTCATAAATCTCAAAATGGGAGCAAAAACATCAAGTAAACACACTAATCAATACCTAGCTACAAGGGCATGAGCCTCCATGTGATGCACCCCGACAATTGGGAGACTGAAGTTACCAGCAACGCTACGAGCCTTTCGCACACCAACTGTATGACTCAAAGAGGAAAAGTTTAATCATTACCTGTGATTTCAAATTACTCTTGAGAGTGAATACATTTTTCCTCCAACTTACCGCGTAGACAGAGGCTCAAACCAGGTCCAATGGTAACAGCAACAGCAGAGAGATCCTTCTCGGTCAAACTGGCTCTATCAAGCGCGTCTTGCACAACCTGCAACCAATGAATACATCGATGGTTACATAAAACCCCAACGGCGTAACCATATACAGCAAAATGAAGTATCTGGATCAATTCTGAACAAGGACTGAATCTAGATACTTGAGAGGTATTGAGTCTTGTAATGATTTGTAATGATGAAACGTCTATATTACCTTATCGATAACTCGGGAGTGTGCTTCTTCAGCCTGTTTAGGAGCGACGCCTCCATATTGGGCAAGCAATTCTGCCTTGATAATTGATGTCACCAATTCCGAGATCAAAACAGGTGAAGCTTAACGAATTATATAAAAGATAGAAAGTTTTAATAGTGAAAGGCTTTCTCAGACAAAACTATGTATTCAAGTGATCAGTGGAGTCTTGTAAACATCAAATGCACGCCAAAGAATCTAGTTGCCGATAATAAAGCAAAGGAGTGATCATTACCTGAGAAGAAATGACTTGACTGAGAATTTCACCATTACCTCTCACCTAAAAACCACACATTCCAACATCAGAAGGAGCAGTGAACTAATGTAAGTTAACACAATAAGTAACGACAAGAAGAAGAAACGGGCTTACAACAGCTGCGGCAGTGTCGTCGCAGCTCGTTTCAATACCAAGAACAACCAAATTATCATCAAAATTCGAATTTTCGCTATTGGGTAACGAGTAGATTCTTGTTCCGGTAGAATAAAAACGTGTCCTTTGAAAATTGGGTGAAGATGAAGGAGAGATTAACGAGAAATTCGGGGTTTTGGTTCTAAGTTTAAGGTGTTTTTGTAATCTGAGTGAAGGATTAGTCGCTAATATTGAGGTTCCAGGATAAAGATTGAATCGGGGAATCGCCGGAGAAAGTGTAAGAAACAGACGAACCATTTGAACGAACCGAAAGAGAAAAAGACGGAAACTTGAGCTGTGCCGAGAAGATGAGTTACACAGGCGTGAATTTGGATTGCTGCCGAATCCGGTTTTAATCGAACCGAAAAATTGAACCGGTTTGAATGGACCATGGTGATTGGGTCATGGTTTAGAGATTTTAAGCAAGTAGAAATAATGAGCTTTACCATTTCCGTTCACTTCCTAGAAAAGTATATACCTTTCTCTGTATTTCCGGCTAAATCTCCGGCGACCGTGAGCTTGATGTTTCGTTCACATCTACTTATTTGGCGTGAAAGCTGATCAAAAGTTAGTTGACTTGTCTCGAAACTTCTTTTGTCTGTCTGAATAGTGAATAAACGGAGCAAATCCAGGTGATCTCTCTCTCTTTTGTTTTCGATCTCTTCTCTCTAGATTCAGTTGCTCCATTTCTTTGTCTAATCACAAACCTAAATTGCAAAACTTGTGAAATTTTCTGGAAATGAACACTGTAGAAAAATCTTTAGGGTTTGTGAAAAGATGATTCCATAGCTTCGTAATCTACATTTCCAGATGCAATATTTCATTGAAATGATGATTCACTTGGAGATCTATCAACACAAAAAGGTTTCAATTTTTTTTGCAGGAGAAATTTGTTTGGATTAGAGAGATTAGGAGAATACAATTTGTTTGGTGGTTTCAAGTATGCTACCAAGTGGGTTGAAAGAAACCCAACTCCGTGAGAGCAACAACAATCAGAAAGTCCATCCTCAACCTATGGAAGAGTCTATCAATCAGAATCCTGAAGCTATGGAAGCACTTATTTCCAATCTCTTTGGAAACATCTCCTCTTTGAAATCTGCTTATATCGAGCTTCAAAGTGCTCATACTCCTTACGATCCCGAGAAGATTCAGGCAGCGGATAAAGTTGTCATTTCTGAACTCAAGAATCTTTCGGAACTGAAGCATTTCTACAGAGAGAATAACCCCAAGCCTGTATGTGTCTCTCCACAAGACTCTCGTTTAGCTGCAGAGATCCAAGAACAGCAGAGTCTGTTGAAGACTTATGAGGTCATGGTGAAGAAATTTCAGTCTGAGATTCAGAACAAGGATTCCGAGATCACGCAGATGCTGCAGAAGATTGACGAAGCAAACCAGAAACGACTTAAGCTTGAGAAGAATCTTAAGTTAAGAGGAATGTCTACAAACGAAGGTTCTGGTGGAGATGGAAATTTGCAATTTCCTGACTTAACCACTGAACTATTCATATCTACTTACGAAGCTGCTGCTAAAGCCGTGCACGATTTCTCCAAGCCGCTAATCAACATGATGAAAGCTGCAGGATGGGATCTTGATTCTGCAGCCAATTCCATTGAGCCTGACGTTGTTTACGCCAAGAGGCCTCACAAGAAATATGCATTTGAATCATACATATGCCAAAGGATGTTCAGTGGGTTTCAGCAGAAGAACTTCTCAGTAAACTCAGAGAGTGCAACGGTTATAGGCCGATGATGACACAGACACCTTTTTCCGCCAGTTTCTTGCTCTGAAGGACATGGATCCACTAGATGCTCTAGGTACAAACCCTGATTCCAACTTTGGCATATTCTGCAGGAGCAAGTATCTAATCTTGGTCCACCCAAAGATGGAAGCTTCTTTCTTTGGAAATCTAGACCAGCGTGACTACGTGACAGGAGGTGGGCACCCGAGGACTGCATTTTACCAGGCCTTCTTAAAACTTGCAAAGTCGGTATGGATCTTGCACAGGCTTGCATACTCGTTTGATCCAGCTGCAAAGATCTTCCAAGTGAAAAAGGGTAGTGAGTTCTCTGATTCATACATGGAAAGTGTTGTGAAGAACATAGTTGTGGATGAAAAAGAAGAGAACCCAAGAGTTGGTCTTATGGTCATGCCTGGGTTTTGGATTGGCGGCAGTGTCATTCAAAGCCGAGTTTATGTTTCAGGTGTGAAGGTCCTTGAGTGAAGGATCTCAGGAACTGTCTTAAAGCTTTCCCACTTTGTTGTGCAACTTTTATTCCCTCCTCTTTGTTATAATTATATTATCAGCAAGCCTATATGTATCATCATCTATTGTTCAGAAAAAAAAAAAGAATTAATATCTTCGAGTTTCAACATCTTTAGGATCGTTATTCAATGACAGTAGCAACTAGCAAGTCTCTGTGATTCAATGACAGTAGCATCATTATAGCAAAATAAGATGTCACGGTGATAATATTCTTAAGATATAAAGAAAAATGAAACAGTATGACTTTGCTTTACGATTCAGTTTCAGATAAAAATAGGTTTCTTACATTTCAATCAAACCCAAAGTAATAATCAAATTTTACATAAATAGAGACAACAAGGTAACAACATCGAATGTCTATAATGGCAAAAAGATGACGCTATTATTCCAAAGTTTACGAATCAAACCCAATGAATCACAACAAAAAAGGAACCAAACACTTAATCACTTGGTAAGCCAAGGGTATACGTCAGGCGATGACGGAAGCCTCGCTGTTAAAACCTCAACACCAGTATCCGTTACCAAGAGGGTATGCTCAAACTGAGCGCTGCGTTTTCCATCTGCGGTAACTGCAGTCCATCCATCAGGCCATGTTCGATCCCGCCATGTCCCTATTATGACATTGTCCTTATGTTAGTAACGGGAGTAACAAACTAACAAATTTAAACATTTAAAGAATGGGAAAAAAACTCACCTGCGTTGATCATTGGCTCGATTGTGAAAGTCTGACCTGCTTTCATCACTCCAACTGCTTTGTTTCCTGATTTTGAGGTTAAGGACATTTACACTGGAATAGACTAACAAGACAACAACAAACCATGTCACGAAATTCTAAAGTAACAAAGGATACTTGCATAGTGAGGAATGTTTGGGGCACAATGGAAGAGATCTCCAATACCATGACCACAATAGGATCTCACCTGTTCAACCACAAGTAAGTTTTTAATTAGACAGACAGATGCTGTGAACATCGTAAACTGCAAACAAAGAAAACCAGACTTTACCACTGATAACCCAGACATTGTAGCATGACGATTGACTATCTCTCCGATTTCACGAAATCTTACTCCAGGTTTAACTGAAAGAGACAAAGCATAGAAAGTCTTAGCATCTCTTCTCAATTTTTAACATAGATTACAGTTAAAACGTAAAAGCTAAGAACAGGTAAGAACTTGGAACCTACCAATTGCTATGGCTTTCTCCAGGCACTCGTATGTGCACTTAACCAGTTGACGTGATGCTTCGTCAACATTTCCAACAAAGTATGTCTCATTAAGATCACCTACCCAAAAATCATTCTATGAGACGACATATCTCAACAGGTAACAAAAATACGATAAGTTATCAATCTTTCTGCAGGAGATAAACTTACCATGGCAACCTTTATAACAGACTGTTACATCAACATTTACTATATCACCATCTTCTAGTTTTCTGAAGCCATTAAAGCACGAGTGATTAGCCTAAAATTTCCTAGGTCATTTTAGCTATTTTGTCAGAAAAGCTCAAAAAAGTAAGAGCATACCTAGCATCCGGAATTCCATGACAAATTACTTCATTAACAGATCTGAAAGGGAATATTCAGAACATAGACTTTAGAAGCAGAGGGAAAACATGGTAGAGGTAATAATGTAGACACAAAAGAAGTACCTACGTGCAGCAAGATTTGGGAAAGAAATAGTAGTTGAGGGGCGATGGATATCCTCCTGCCAGAACATAAGATTATACAATAGTTATAATGTTGGTGTGATGAACTTGAGTGATGGACTTCCCAAAAGGATAAGAAAAACTAAAAGATTCAAGTAAACAGTGAATCCTAAAAGACACAAACCTGCTGCAATAGTTGCTTCATGAACAACTCGATCAATCTCATCAGTAGTCACACCGGGGCGAATCACCCTAGCGGCTGCATCCAGGACCTCTCTGGCAATCTGATAACAGAATATGTTCAAATAAGAACCTTGAAAAAAGATCAGTGGGAAATGTAGTCCAATGGCATTACAGGAAAGAAAGAAAATAACACTAACTTTACAGGTTTCACGCATTCTCTGAATTTGTTCGGGCGTTTTTATCTACAAGACAACAAAAAACCTTGTTAGTGACAGTGAGATAAAATATTTGTGTCCATGGCTCCGAATCAAGGACAATGAGCAGAGGCTAATGTATCAAAGCATCACTAACCTCAACAACATGTTGTAGATCACTATTCGGTTCAACTTTGGGAGTCCCCTGAAAAAAATGGTATAGATTATAACAGGGAATATTAGAAACTATAAACTAACTGCAAGACAAGTGAGACCTACACAGACATACCACAGGGAACTGTTAATTAACAACTCATATAAAAGTACAATTCTTGAGACTAAGCCATTCTTAGCTAAGTAACTATTACACTATCAAAGTCGAATTAACTCGAGTTCAACTTTGCTAGTAGTAGGTTACTAGTGCAGCAGAAAAATAAATCCAGATCACATAATGTATGGGCACTTACATCAATTGCCCAGTCAGGTTTCTCAATCTCAGCAGGCACAACACGCTTGGTAGATATGGGATATTGCTTTAGGGGCCTACACAAACGCAAGAAGATATAAGAAAAAAGTAACAAGATAAAAACATTACATCTAATCAGCAAATAACAGTTGGAGGAAATCTTGGTTACAAACCCAGTCCAATCAAAGTGTGGAAGCTTAGGTGTTCTAGCCTGGCCTTTCTTGACGCAATAGAGCCAGCCTTGAGAAATAAGATCAGAGTTCTGATCACCGGGAAGGGAATTGGCAATAGAAGACAGCTGAGCTTTCACATGTACTGATTTGTGCGAGCTCCAAGCTGCCTTGAAACATTCTTGAGTGCTGTTACGATAACAAGAATGAAAAGTTAAAACTTTGAAAAAAATAAAAACTGGCCAAATCAAAAAGGTTAAAAAGAAAGACACATACCAGAAAGAGGCTTGTTCACGAGGAAGCTTCAAGTCCATGCATTTCGGACACCTGCGAGTTCAAGAGCCATAAATCATGAAACTACGCATAAAAAAGACATGAGTCGATGTGAACATCAGCATCCCATTCCTCTAACATATACTAAAAGCAACAGTTATCGAAAACATCCATTTAAAATTCGAACTTCAGAGCTAAATTGACACCAATTATGCAAGTCAAATAGAGAAAGGAAGAAGAAGAAGAGAAAGAAGGGTAATTACGTACTGAAGATGCGCAGGCTTCTCGCAGCGAGCACAGGAAAGAGTCGCAATGGTCGATGCATCTGATTCACCGGCCATTCAATTTCTCGTATTAAGCCAAACAGAGAACCAGCTCAAAATCGCCGGTGTGAATTTTGAGAGACAAAGAGAGAGATGAGACCTCTAGGGTTTATCGAATATACTTAATTGATGGAAATTAACATATTCTGAAAACGACGACGTTAACTAAATCTTCTCTTCTCCTTTTTTTTTAAATGCTTTGACTAAATTCTTCTTTATTTATTTTCTCTAAAATCTTAAAATACAAGAGCGTTTTTTTCAATCTCTACTGTATTTGCATCCAGTTTTATAGAACGAACTAAAATTCTATTTTTTAACAATGACATTAATCGACTAGTAGGACAAACATGATGACCAAGTGTTCCATGGGTGGCCCAATTAGCTTTTACACCAGACTTAGGTCCAAATCCATGGCCCAAGACAAAGAAAATTTAGAATAAAGAAAAAAAAACAGAAAAACAAAGTGAATGGCATGTTTGATACTTGATAGTGGTGTGTTTTGTTTTCATTCATTCATATGTTTTATAATGATATATATGCTTTGTTTTGATATGATCTATATGCATGCATAGACTCATATCTTATAGTTTTCTAAATATGTTTCATGGAAGACATATTTTGTACAAACGTTGCATTTTGATGGTTCTAACCTTAAAAAAAAATCCTTTTTGATTAAACTTTTAGTGTAATGTGATGTCTCTCTCTTGACAACGCAAAACGCGAGCAAATCACAATTTTTTGTATCTATTTCACCTAGTTTAGACTATTTGACAATTTCTTTTACCTATTTTGTACTATCTAAACGTCACAGAAAATATAACGGGTTTATATAAGATTTTACTATATTCGGAGCACCAAAGTTGCCAAAGGTTGTTGATGAATGTTTTCAAAGATATCATCTTGACATGCGTGCTAGTCAAGATGATATCTTTGAAAACTCCAGTGTACATTCATCAACAACTGTGAGCAATTGTTTTTCGCTCTCTGAAGTCTCTTTCTCATTAAAAGGTCTTATGCGACAATAGACTCTGATTTTCCCTATCATATCTACAATTAAATACAAACATTAATAAATTGATTTGTAACTCTGTTCATTACATCAATCATCCGTATTATTGATTTGTAACTCTGTTCATTACATTTCATCGTTCGATATTTTGATGTTTAATATTAGGGTTGGGTGTTCGGGTTTGGTTCTGGATTTTCAGGTTTATGCATCTATGATCCGTTCGAATATTTTCTATGTTCGGGTCGGGTGCGGATTCAAGTATTGTTTGCTTCTTTTTTCTAAAATTTTAAAATACAATAGCTTTTCTTTCAAGTCTACTGTATTTGCACCCAATTTTGTAGAATCAACTAGCTTACTCAAATCCTTCAAAGTTTTTTGGGTCCATCATTCACATTCTTTGCATAAAATTCTTGTTTGTTATATGTTGTTGGCTCCCTTAAACTATTATCTAAGCAAAAACTCGTCCAAGTCATTCTTGATGAAGATTCATATGTTGAGAGTGTAAGCACTTTAAAATTTGCTGCAAAAGATTACGATCCAAAATCACTAGTTAACGAAAATCGATCAACTAAATTGAATGTAGAAAGATTATGTACAAGTAAAAACAATCGGCCAGGAAAAGTATATGTATTCTCACTTCTCAGGTATGTGGGCTTGTCTCTACTTTTGTTCATAATATATATGCCTATGTTAACAAAAATTAAGAAACTATCTAGAAAATAAATTGTCTTGATTTTTGGAATATTTTCTGATAATTAAGTAAAACAGTATTCATTTTCGTAAATAAGAATTAAAGTAGATTCACCTGAAAATTACTAATGATTACTTGAAAATCACGATAAGCTATCAAATTTAGAAGGCTTTAGCCATGTTTTTCCTCTTTTAATATTTCGAAAGTATTAGTCTCGTCGTGTCAAGCTAAAGAATTTGCAATATAGTATATAAGCTAGTGATCAGTTTAAATTTTATATTTAATTTATTAGTCCATAATATATCAAATTTTTCTTAATTATTTAATAGTCTAGTTGTGCTTATACATGGTTTAAGTACCATTTAAGTACTTGGACAAAGACAAAATTTTGTTATGCGAATGGCGTTGGCAACACCTAGTTTGTGATAAAGAGATGGATAACAACACAATCTGAAATGATTACGATCGAGAACAAAACGAAGACAGCCAAACAAAGTCTTTGCGGGCCTCAAACGGAAACTTGAATTATAAGTAATCAATAGTCTTATACTTAAAAAACTATTGTGGAAAACCGAATATTTCATTTCATTACTTAAAGGGCAATGAGAAAGTTTCAATTTAATATTCGTACGTCCTTTCGATAACGAGGTTTTAACGATCTTTGTTAAAGTCTATCTATTATTGCTACAACTACTTGTTTGTACCTCTTTTCTTTTGCGTGAGAATTTTAACAACTAATGTGTGTTCATTTTACATATAGATATGATTAAGATATGATTAATACATATGATATTTAGATTAGATTAGATTTTAGATGTATTTAACTAACACATATATGCACTGCCGCATTTAATTTTAAAATAGGTCTTGATTGCTTTAAATTAGGTCTTAACTAACATGACTGCTGGTCATGTACAAATTAGATTAAAATCGGCTTAATTATTTTGTTTTTGAAATTTCAAAAAAATCAGTTCATCTAGGAAAGGTTGCTTCAAGATTACAGATTATACTTATTTTTCATTTTATAAATCTGATTTTGTTTTCGCCCACTTTAAATCTTTTAAATTTAAGCAAATAATTAGTCTCTGCGAAGGTGAGAGCATCATAATGTGTCTTTACGAATGTCAACAAAAACCAAAAATGTCCCTATGGAGTTTATAAATATCGTCAACCGAATCGTTGTTTTTAAGTATTTTGTAAGTATATTCATGATGTAATTTTGTCAAACGAGTAGATTGTGATAGTACTCAAATTGGTGATTACCTCTTCATATACATTTGATTTTTATTCTTTTTTTTCCTAAATAAGAAATTTCTATGGATAATCCATGAAAAGACTAATTAACGTCCAGAGTCAAATCATATCGATTATCGATCGTTACTTCTTCCTCAAAGATTTATTCAAAAACAATTAATTTCGTTACCAATAAAACAAGGAACGTGTTATTATTTTGTGGCCGTGCTTAAAAAGTCAACTTAGACCAAATGATAATGTTGGTAATCTACTCATGGATTGAGACCTCTCTACGATTTCTGCTAGTTTTTGAAACCTCGTTTCTTCCGTCGACGTTACGTGTAACGCAGTCTTGCTTTGAACGAGGACGTCTCCAAAATCCATAGCTAGAATATGATACTTATACCAATTAAGTAAACATTCAAACAAAGTCTAATCTCTTCACAACACAATACTTTTTCAGATTTTGATATTAACCATAAACCAAAAAAAAAGAGTCCAACTAAGTGAGCACAAAAGAAAAAAAAATTCACATTTTTGTAAGAGTTTTTGAGATTTATATTTTCTTTCTTGGGCATGCTATTGCGGACCACCCAGTAGTAATGAATAATGACCACCACAATCTATAATGTCTATGTCTTAGCTCGCATAATTTCACTGTCTTGTGAACCCTCGACCAAAGTTACATGTTTAGTAATTATCTATTATTTCTATTATATATTGATCTACGTGTTAATAATAATAAAACCCCGTGAACTAACCTATACAAATTAACTAAAAATATCATGGTATTAAACCACTTATATATTACTAATTTTGTTCACAAACTCCAAATTCTCTAATTGTCACAGTATTAGGTAATTAAGTTCATATTGGATTATTATAAGTAACTATAGATAAGATAAATACAAAATATATTTATATATATATATATATATCATCAATGTTAATTCGTAGTCGTAACTACAGTTTTTTTTTTTTTTGTATGACGTTAGTTAGTTATCAGTTCTCATTCATTTAAACGTTGACGGATGAATTTCTAGTAGTATTAGAAACATATATAGCTGTGCATTGCATGTAACAAATTCTTGACCAACCTCTTAATAAACAGATTTTGGACGGATAAGATCATTAGAATCTTTTGCTTTTAAATATTAGATGACGTACCTACCATCGATATAGTCTTACGTATTCTCGATTAGTTTAATTTAAAAAGAGACCAAACATATACTAATAAAATGGTTGAATCTATTATCTATATATGTTTCCTTAACAACTTAATTAGTTTAAGCACAGTTTGACATCTAAAATTTTGTCCACCAGCCCGGAGATTTCATAGTTCCATTCTACCCACCAAAAAAAAAGAGCCGTTTCCATATATTTAAACATGAACTTTAAAATTTTGTATCTATTATTATTTGAATTTTTTACAAATTCTGTAATTACTTGGAGGAATTAATATGTATATGTTTTCAGTTATTTTGTTTGACATCTTACTTTTATTGACTTTATTCAGAACAACGTACTAATTATATGTTTTTTCGTAATAATATAAATGGGTAATTTTGTGTGGCTAGTTCATTTGGTGAACAAAGTTATCTTACGTTTTGGCAAGTTGAGTTCTTGCATACAAAGTTAAAAGTTCTTTTTGTAGTTTTTGTGTATGATGACAAAATGATTAATTAATAATTTAGCTAGAAAAACTTTAGAATTAAAGATCGTTTATCTAGTATATATGATTATATATGTACACAAAAACAACCAGAAAACAAAAAATCAAAGTTCGCCAATTCAAAATACTTATGTTTCACCTAGGAATAGCATAAAATGCATTTTCAAAATAAGATTAATCACAGAATCTTAATACAGTCTTTTGTGCAAATTGCTGTGGTCGTATACAGTGCGCTACGGCAAGGAGTCGATTATATTGATTAAAAAAAACTTGTCAATATTTCGAAGTTTACGTCGACGGTTGATTAATCTTTGTGGATAGCGATTACACTGTCTCTGCCTGACCTACATATTATTATTGTTGCTACAAAGTACAAACTATACAAATGCGAGGCATATATGACTTTGATTTTTTATTAATCTTTAAGAGACTCGTGAGAATTCGATTGAGTTTAATTTAACTCACATAGACGCGTTTATGCCAGTAATGCTATTGAATTTAAGAACTATATATATAATATATCTTGAGAAACAAATATATATAGTAACTAATTAGGATTTCTGCTTATTCGTAAACCTATTATTTTCATGCTATCACTAATAATCTGTGTCCAATTTTTTGTAAAACATTCGATTGTAGACTATTTTTTCTGATTATTATTCAATATCACTTTAATTTGTCTCGTAGTCAAATCAACGCGTATTACGTCAAAAATGATTGCCCAAACAAGAAAATTAGAATTCAACATTGAGAATATATGACGGCATGATCTGGTTATACCAATCCATTGGTTGGTAACTTGGTATAGTCTTTTATACTTTTATTTTTTTGCTTCAACTATAATGAAATTACATATTAATATATTTATTATTAATTTAAATAAAAAAGCATAAGTCCCCACATCTATATAAACACATCGATTCAAGACACAAATCCCATCAATCAATACCTTCAAACACAAACTTCTCGTTTCTCAAAACATTTGGTCTTATGATGGCTTTTCCAGCTTATATTATTACCTTTGTGTTCTTATGCATTCTCGTGGCATCGACCGTTTCCGGGTACAACCAGAAAGACGTGAAAGCGTGGTGCAGCCAAACTCCAAACCCTAAACCTTGCGAGTATTTCTTAACCCATAACTCAAACAATAAACCCATAAAGTCTGAATCCGAGTTCCTCGAAATCTCAACGAAACTCGCATTAGACCGAGCCGTCCTCGCCAAAACCCACGCGTTCACACTAGGACCAAAGTGCCGTGACACACGTGAGAAAGCAGCGTGGGAAGATTGTATCAAGCTCTATGACCTCACTGTCTCTAAAATCAACGAGACAATGGACCCCAACGTGAAGTGCTCAAAAACCGACGCGCAAACATGGCTAAGCACAGCTCTAACCAATCTTGACACGTGTCGAGCTGGGTTCTTAGAGCTTGGTGTTACCGATGTCGTCCTTCCTTTGATGTCAAACAACGTCTCGAATCTTTTATGCAACACACTCGCCATTAACAAAGTTCCTTTCAACTACACCCCACCCGAGAAAGACGGGTTCCCGTCGTGGGTCAAACCTGGTGACCGGAAACTTTTGCAAAGCTCGACGCCAAAAGATAACGCAGTGGTGGCGAAAGACGGATCTGGTAATTTCAAGACGATAAAAGAAGCGATTGATGCTGCTTCGGGGAGTGGTAGGTTCGTGATATATGTCAAGCAAGGCGTTTACAGTGAGAATCTTGAGATTCGAAAAAAGAATGTTATGTTGAGAGGTGATGGTATAGGGAAGACGATTATTACCGGAAGCAAAAGTGTTGGAGGAGGAACGACAACGTTTAATTCAGCCACTGTCGGTACGTATGGTTACAAAACAACAAATGATTAATTTTGTTTATTTTAGTTATGAGATATCTACTATATAGTAATGGGGGATTAGCAAAAATACCCCTTTTCTCATGCCCCTTTTCAAAAATGCCCCTTTTAGATGTCCATTTTCAAAAATGCCCCTTTTTAAATCTGAAATTTTTATAAAGTTTTATTAGGTTTATAAGGTACTTATGGATTGTAACTACTACTTGAAGACTCGATCCAAGTATTTATAAGGTTTTATAAGGTGTTTTTAAAGGTTTTACAAGTTATTTTAAAGGATTTTTAAGGTTTTTCAAAGGTTTTACAAGATATTTTAAAGGTTTTTAAAGGTATTTAAAATGCATTTATAAGGTATTTATAAAGTATTTATAAGATTTTAGATACATAGAAATGTAGTTTGTGTATGTTTTAATAATATTACATACATATTTGGGTAAATCTTATATTTTTAAGAGCATTTTTTATAAGGTTTTAAAAAAGGGGTATTTTTGAAAAGTGGCATTGAAAAAGTGGCATTATTAACAATTTCCCTATAGTAATAGTATAATATGGTTTAGTTTGCGAAATGTTACGTGCATGAACACACCAAACTAGATACCAAAATTGAAAGGGATATAAAAGAACCACGCACATCGTCTTATAGGTTGTCTAGATTTAAGATTTTAAGATTTCGTCTTGAATTCTCTACAAATATAGGTTAATATATTTTTCTTGCAAAAACAAAAAAGTCCGTACACTTTTATGATAGTGAGAAGTCATAAAACATATAAGTCAACGCAGTTTTTTTTCTTTTTTCCATGGGATACTTTGAAGTGTACGCAATCCTCCACTATTACTCAATAATTTATGATCCATACTTTATGATAAATTTTCGATGACGTTTAAAGTCATAACTAATCGTTTATCTCACATTATTGCAGCTGCGGTCGGAGACGGGTTTATAGCTCGTGGGATCACGTTTCGAAACACGGCGGGTGCAAACAACGCACAAGCGGTAGCTCTAAGATCCGGGTCGGATCTATCCGTTTTTTACCAATGCAGTTTCGAAGCTTACCAAGACACACTCTACGTTCACTCCAACCGTCAGTTTTACCGCGATTGCGACGTTTATGGAACTGTTGATTTCATCTTCGGAAACGCAGCAGCGGTTCTCCAGAACTGCAACATCTTCGCACGTCGTCCACGTAGTAAGACCAACACAATCACCGCTCAAGGAAGATCCGACCCGAATCAAAACACGGGTATTATTATCCACAACTCTCGGGTCACTGCCGCTTCGGATCTTCGACCCGTTTTGGGATCCACCAAGACTTATTTGGGTCGACCTTGGAGACAATATTCTAGGACAGTTTTTATGAAGACTTCTCTTGATAGTTTGATTGATCCACGTGGCTGGCTCGAGTGGGACGGTAATTTCGCTTTGAAGACTTTGTTCTATGCTGAGTTTCAAAATACGGGTCCGGGTGCTTCAACTTCGGGTCGGGTCACATGGCCAGGGTTTCGGGTCCTTGGTTCTGCTTCAGAGGCTTCCAAGTTTACTGTTGGTACTTTCCTTGCCGGTAGCTCTTGGATTCCATCTACCGTGCCGTTCACTTCTGGTCTCTAATGAGTATATGATTGATATTATATAGTATGATGCAAAGTTGTATATACGACGCAATTGATTCCTCTATTACAAAGAATAAATATTGTTTGTTACATTATAGAAACTCTTGTATAATTTACATATTACTATCATTTATGCAATTTCAATTTTTCTGTAAAGATATTGTATTCTGTTTTATCTGAAATAAATTGTCATACGATTCTATTACTGTTTCAAGTTTTTTAACACACAAAAAAATGATTCAAGTCGAGTCATTGTGTTGACTTGAGCCGAATGTCGAATATAATGGATCTTATGGCCCATTAATCTTCTCCATAACTCAAACAATGGCCCAATGTTGTAATGATATTTTATAAAAGCGTATATAAATACAAATTGACATATGCGATCCTTTGTTAATCAAAATTGAATCATAAATAGGGGTTGTTCATTAGATTAACAAATAATATACCCAAATATAAAGTTTCTTACATATATACTCGAAACAATACTAGTTATGAAAACTATGATAAAACATCAAAGCAAGAGTAATTTATGAAAATATATGTAGATAAATTAATCGGGAATATAACATAATTTATAAGTTTATTGTTCTTTGAAAGATGTTGTTACATATGTGTGAATATTTTTTCGACAACATGCAACATGTAAATTTGAATCATTTTTTTTTTTAACTTCAGTTGTCACGACAGTAGCACAAGCCATTATGTTACAAGTTCTGGTCACATGTATATATTAATATGATACATTCTTCTAATAGCCTCATGCAGCAACAAGTTGGTATATTCTTTTTGTATGGACCAAAACTGCTAATGGTTACGACCACACAAGCAAATTAATGTCAACTCAATAATTAAATCTTAAACTTGGACCAATCTATAACTCAAGCCAAATTATAGATCAACCTATGAAAATTATTTGTCTAGTTGCGGATCTACGACTAATACACCTGAAAAGGAAAGATCCCACCAATAGATAATATGCATATTACAAGTCAAGTGGATAAAGTTATTCCAAGAAGCAAGAACCGTGGCATGTATTATTTCCATAACTTAGTTTCTATTTACAACTACTCAAGCAGTGCCCGAACCCGCACGTCGTTTATTGTTTTCCGTTCATACATGCTTGCATTGATTGTACGGATAATTTTAGTTACCATGTTTGGTTAGTCTTTGGGATTACGATTCATGTTTTGCGTAAGTGCGTAGATTCTCACTAAGTCAAGTCTTTTTTGGGTAAATTACGTTACTCGTTAATCGTCAGCCTCTTTCTTTATCTAAAAATTAGTAATTATCGAACGAAAACACTTATTGACATAGTTTCAACAAAATCTTCTCTCCACATTCATTTGATCATGAGTATTCAAATACGTACTTTTACATATGTAGTCATTATGTGTACCTTGAACAACCGAATATTTTTAACCAGCAAGCTGCTTGAAACCTGTAATATAGTACTTTAGTAGTTTGTATTAATATTGTCATAGTCTAAATTTAAATAATTCGTATTTAATTTCGACTATGTATGTATGTGTGTGAACAGTTTCAAAAATATGTAACCAGAAGTCAAAATACATGATAAATTAGTTGTTCTTTCGGATACCAATCGCATCGCGACGCTCATTTTAGATTTGAACATCTTTCACGTCAAAGTGTTTCGTATCCAAATCAGACAAGGCAACCACAAAAGCCAAAATATTTTGTCGTCTAACCTAGCCATACTTAAATAGTATTCGAAATATATATCTTTTGGCATAAGTAGTAGTATTCAAAATATATAATTAGTTAGTGGGAATAAGCAAGCAACAAACATATCCTTGCGATTGATAGCTAAAAATCTTGAGTAGACCCATAGAGAGAATAGAATCGTGTTACACTTTTCCTTTGGTGTTTCATCACCAATTCCATTTGATCTTTATATCAATGTCCAAAGACAGTATACCACTAAGTGTCCCCATGCTAATCACATCATTATCGATAATTACTATTAGCCTCTTAAATAATTATTTACATTATCACCTTACTGTATAATTGACTATCACAAGAAAAGAGTAAAGTGACAAAAAGTAACAAGATTAGAAAATGGTAAATTAAAGGGAACAATATCTACTAAGGAAAAGCTTGAAAATCCTAAGAACTTTTTTCCATAATTGTCTTCAATTGCGGCAATGGCGGCTCCATGGAAATATCCGAGAACTTGACCCGGATGCGATCCGGGTTTTGACCCGTTCGAAGTCCGAATACAAACAAGGAATAGTGATACCTCCTTCGTGGCAAAATCCGTACTCTTTTTCGGCTTCTCGAAGCAGCTCACCGAACAAAGGATGGTTAAAGTAAACGATGGGTACCAAAACTCTATGACAGTCACCGTCTTTTTGACCCACGTAGATCGCCAAGTGTCCCCTTGGAACCGGGTCGGGTTTCTTATGATTAACGGGTATGTATCCGGATCCTCTCGTAGACCTGAAACGTCTGAAACTTTGCTTGAGACGTTGGCCCCAACTTTTGAGCTTGGCGAATGGTCTCAGCATGCAAGCTTGTCGGGTCGAGTGTATCCGGTTGTATCCAGAACGTCGGATCCGGGTTTTCCGAAGGATCCATCTTGAGACTCGTCTCCCGATTCTAAACCCTATGATCTTCTTCATCTTCTTATAGCTAACTTAAAAAAAAACAGTTTTGTCACAAAACTACACTTTTTGAGAGATCTGAGAGAAAATAGAGGTTAAGAGAGTGAGACGAGACATGGACTAACGAGTCAAATAAAGAGTGATTCATTTGAACGAGAATAAATATATAAATCAATCTTTTTTTTACATTTTCTTGATTTCCTCTATAAGAAAAATAAAACAATTTCTAGGGAAAACAAAAATTCGTGAATGATGTGAACGGAAAAAGAAAGAAATACTTTCGATGTATATAAACGTTAAAGAAGAGATCAAGAGAAGAATGAGTGAAAGACAGAGGTCTTTAAAGGAGTTTATATGGAGTCTAAATAAATGAACGGTTAGATGAAGATTAAGCTTTGTGACCGTTGGATTAGATTAAAACTGCCATATTTTTCTTTTGCTTGGCAAATAGTCCAAACCAGAAGAATCTACATTAAATATGACACGTCCCATTAACCGTTAGCCTACGTTTATCGTTTATCTGTGAACGTTTTGATGGGTTATGAATCACAAAACGAAAAAATAGCAGTATCAAAGTATTTATGGTTGTTTAATTAGCGTGTAAATTTTTATGCACATATTATTTATGTTGATTTTGAATCTGAAAACATAATAATCTATCAAACAGAGGGATAAAGAATCTTTGATTCTGAAAATGTTTTGTCGGAACTTCATACTTAAGCATGTTTGAACTTCGAAGATGAAGACAATTATGCCACCACACGTGTGCTGGCCAAGTGGGACAAAGTTTTGAACTTATTCGGTAACACTTACACGAGATCAAAATCCCCACCATCTCGTTTTATTTATTTGTTAGTGGTCATCTAATGTTTTTTAATCAGGTTAGTGCCCTAGTGATCATCTACTTGTCTGTGATTTTGATAAAATTAAATTACATATAATAAATTTATAATACGAGAACAAAATGTGTACGGTGTGTCCTCTAGTTGCGTTACTTGCGTACGTTGATGATGGTTAATATATATATTCGTATCAGGACAAAAAACTTTAAGCAAAAGACGAATAAAGATAGATCTAGTTTGAGTAATTGGAGGATATTCACTAAGCTTTTTGGAGCTAAAATGGTGAATTCCCCACGAATCAACGCTGAGAAGAGAAGTTTTATATTTTGATTTACTTTACACAATTACAGTTCATTATGTAAATTAATATCGTGTTTCTAGTGTATCCAATAAAAAATCTTGGAAGTTTAAAGAAATGAAATATTACTACAAACAAAATTGATCTTTAAAAAATAAAATAAAAAGCACATGAGCGATGAGTGATTGCATGCACTCTGATACCATATTAGCTAACAAAATTATGTATATAAAAAAGTAGGTTTTATGCAGTGTAAAATGTACTTACACACTAGCTTAATACAAGCAAAACAAAAAATTAAACATAAATCAATTTGTGTGTTTCAACCGACAGGTTTTTTTTGTATATTTGTTAATCATAATTTGTTGCAGCTAAAAGACGTTTAAACGTTCATAATGGATATGACCCAGCTGGTGAGCTGGAGAAGATATTCGTTTTTCGTGATCAATGTTTTTATGTTTGCCCATCACTGTTTCTATAAACCCATATTAAATTTTCATATACTATTAGTCACAGTTAAACGTTACAATTGGCTATCACGAGTTCTCTAATCTACAGTAAAAACTATGATTTGATCATAAAAAGTTAAAGCACAATTTCCGAATCACAAAAGAACAAATTGATTTGGACCTTTCGATAATAGGAATCTGAAAGAAGTTTGTTCCAAACACTTCTCTCGATCGCGATCGTATGGAATCTTTCCCTTATAAGTCCCAACTCATCAGCTTCGTGTCCGTACAGTTCGTACCTCACACGAACGTGTCACATGGCTTCAAAAGTCAACTTAATCGAGAGCCCAATTGAGGCCTACCATAATCGGGCCTTAAAAAGCCCATTATTAAAAGTCCATGATTAGAAAAGGCCCATAACCAGTCGAGCGAAGAAGCGGAGGAGGGAAGAGCGATCCTCTCGTCATTGTTGCTGCTAAAATTGGTTCCATCGATTTCAGTTAGAATCAGATCGTCGTTGTACTGAGAGCTCCGGCATTGGTTCACGGCGAAGCTGGCGAGTTATCTGAAACGGAGAGGTTACTGATCTGAATTGTTGAAGATCGGAAAATGACAGAATCGAGTCTGGATCTGCAGGAATCTGGTTGGGAAGAACTTAGGCGGGAAGCTCGTAAAATCGAAGGAGATCTAGACGTTAAGCTCTCTTCTTACGCTAAGCTTGGCGCCAGGTTTACTCAAGGCGGTTCGTTCTTCTTCCTTTCCGCTTGATCATGCTCTCTGTGTTTCCTTTTTCTTTTCCATTGCTTTAGTATGTTGCAGTTTTGAATGTGGAGTTAGTAGTCTGTAATGTGATACGGATCGAGGAATCAATTTTGGATGTGATCTCTTCATTGGATTGAATTTTGATCGATACTGTCTCTCAGTCTCTGTTATGGTTCCTCAATGCTTAAATTCATTTCTGTGATGTAGAATGGATAAATCTGAATGTGTTTGTATAATGTTCCCAGCGAATTTGTAAGAATTAAGGTGAAGTAATGCTGCAATTGATAGTACTTTCTCTCAGATTTTCTGTGATTTTTCCATGTGTAATCGACTCTGTAAGAAGAGTATTTGTGTTTTAAGCTTACTGTTTTGCATTAGCTTTCAAATTTTAAGAATTGCATTGTTGTATCACATATTGTTCTTTTCATGAATTATTAGAAAATCTTGAAATGAAAAGTCAGGTGCCTTTCCTTACCAGATTTACATATGTTTTGGTGTCAGGGTATGTTGACGCTGGGTCTCCAACCGTTGGATCGGGGAGATCATGGAAGTCTATGGAGATGGAAATTCAATCGTTGCTTGAGAAGTTGTTGGACATAAATGATTCCATGAGTAGATGTGCTGCATCTGCAGCACCCACTACATCGGTTACTCAAAAGCTTGCTAGGCACAGGGATATACTTCATGAATATACCCAGGTTTTCTTGCACTATATTTGACTTTTTTCCTTTTTAAGCTATTTGTTGTTTTCATAGTTTCAATAGCTATCCCCGTCACGTAAATTTATTTGTTGTTTTTCATAGTTTGAGTGAAATTTTGAGTGTAACTTAGTAATATATCAGGGATCTCAAACTTGAAATTTCTGATCATGCTACTGATGCAACAATCTTCAGCTAAATACTTTTGTTGCAGAATGCATAAGGTAGATAAGTTAATAGATGCGTTTGCATAGAACACAGTTTTGGTACTGCTATCCACTGTTTTGGTATCATGCATCTGTGATTCAGTGATACAAGATGAGTAATTGCAGTCCCATTTTTTGGTAAAAAGCAAAAGCCTTCGCACCAGTGTAGATTTTGTTTAGCGGTACTTATGTTTCTGCCATAGTAGGAGTTATACGTATTATGGGAACTATATTCTCTCCTATAATGTATTTTCATGTAAATTTATAGGAGTTTCGAAGAATAAAAGGAAATATAAACTCGATGAGAGAACATGCTGAGCTTTTGAGTTCTGTCAGGGATGACATAAGTGAATATAAGGTAAAGATCCTATAACCTCTTAGTTTAGAAAATAAGTATACCTTATTATTGGAGATACACCTTCTTTTCTGCTCACAATTTGATTGGAAATTGGGTTCTGTTTCTGCTTCTGCAGGCTTCTGGTAGTATGTCACCGGGTGTGCAAGTGTTAAGGGAGAGAGCTTCAATCCATGGAAGTATATCCCATGTAAGATACTTTCTGCAATCATGGTTTTTGTAATCTGAGTGATATGTTCTGTTAATATCCCTCTTTCTAATGTTGTTATCTAATGATGATATTATGGAGAATTTACTAATACTTGTAGAATCATTTGGCTGCAGATTGATGATGTGATTGGTCAAGCTCAAGCGACAAGAGCAGTTCTTGGCTCTCAACGATCTCTGTTTTCAGATGTTCAAGGGAAAGTAAAAAATCTCGGAGACAAATTCCCAGTGATTCGTGGCTTACTTGGTATCTCTATTCAACCTCTATATGATATTCTCAACTAATCTCATTAACCTTCTATTATCTTTGAGCAACTTTTACTTTTTCAATTAATAGGTTCAATTAAAAGGAAACGTTCTCGGGACACCCTTATCCTCTCTGCTGTCATCGCTGCTTGTACGTTGTTTCTAATCATCTACTGGCTCTCAAAATAAACAGAATGTTCATACACCTAAACTATAAAACGAGTTTGCCTCGGCATCCCTAGATCGATTTTTCCAAGTTTTTTTTTTGCTTTGTGTTGAGTTATCTGTTTGTAGGACAATATTACACCCTGAATCATAAAACAGCGTAAAGTAAAAATTCGAATCATATATATCTCACAATATCAAAGATCAATCCATGTGACATCATTCAGGTACTTACTTTATTTTACCACACGCTTAAATTCTTCAACAATGGTCCAACATAAAATGTGGTCCAATACATACATTATGCTCTGTTTTATTATGTTAGATTTTTATTACTGTCTCTCTCTCCCTTAGTTTGGTCCTCTCGACCACAATACTTTGTACGAAAAAGTAATCCAACTCATAAATTGATCTTTCAGCTTACATTTACATCCACTCAGGTTATAATATCTAAAGGCCTCGCTCTCTTTATTTTCGGTGGGTACACACTTCACTAATGATGATCCAGTCCCTTGTATTTATTTCCCTGTCTATACTCTATGTGTCCTACATATAGTTTTAAGAAGTGCTAATCAATGTGGTTCGTACCGGTTTAAAGATATTGTGGTGGGCCAAAGCCCACATAATAGCCAGGCCGGATTGACTTTTCTAAGTTTTCGTCCCTAAAAAATATGGTCAATGTGGACCAATGAAAAGCAATTTCGATTAAATCGATAATCCAAGAATAGATGGATATAGTCTCGCTCGTAGAAGATATAGGCTAAACGAGGAAAGTAACAAAGAGTTACCCCAACGTATGATTCGTTAGCTAATACTAATTATAGTTTGAATATTGCTTTTGGAGGGAGGAGATAGTAATATATTTTAGCTTTTGGCTTTTTGCTTTACATTGGCTGGACATAGGACTAGGAATCAGAGGCTCTTTTTAAAATAAAAGCTTGTTAGATTCTGCGCTTCCCAATGGGAGACCGTTTCTTACGAATTTTCAGACAATAAAACACTCGAAAGGATCAGAGGAGGCTCAGTTTCTCTTTTTGGTTAAAAGTGAAAAAAAATAATCATTATAATTTTTGTAAAGACAGTTGATATGAGATATCTATAGACTATAGTATAGTACACTAATCAACCATTGAACCATCACCTATATTCGATAACTCACGGATCGGTGATACATACCCTTAGGAACAATCGGACTTATGAAACTCATAGAACTATTCTTCTTCTATGTTTGTTTAAGACTCATAATTTTGTTCGTATTAAATGTATCGAAATTTTTATCTGAGATTTGTAATGGTTAATATCGACTTGGATTGTTAAATGCACACCATTATTATGTTTGAATTTTATTTTTATTTTTTAAAAAGTTTTTGTTCTGTTTGTAGATTGTTACGTTTGAGTTACGATTTGCAGATGATGTTATGCCAAAGAGTGTATGTGTCTTTAATGTAATTAAAAACAAAATATTAAAGATGTAAACACATACATAAATGCCAAAAACTTAAAGCAAGTTATCGTTAAATGTCGTCGATATACACATTAGTTTGGTTGAAATAGTATGGTCAAAAAATTAAAGTATTTAATGGTAAATTATTCTAGTAAATAATTAAATTTGAAGATATATAGACTTTGATGATTTATAGACTATTGAACATAAACTAATGAGGTTTTATTATGATTGATAGACGAGGTGCAATCCTCGATTATCATATATCAAATAAGGAAGTGCAGGCGTACTTCGATGTTTATTTTTCAGAGATGAAATCGGGACTCATCTAGTCATATTTTGCATTATTGTCTTTAATTAGGCTTCGCTGAAATGTAGGACGTGATTAATAATTAAGCATCAAAAGATTTAATAACATAACAATAATGAAACAAGAATAGAAAAATAAATATAGAGGGAGAGAGAGGGCTTGAATATGTCCAATTTGGCATGTTGCTGTGCCCTAACAAGGAAATGTGAGGAGAGAAAAGAATGCACGTGGCAGAGAGAAGCCTGCGACATAAAGACAAAGAGACGGACCATAGGGTCGGAGCCGAGGAGCCTGGACGGTCCATAAACATGCTTAACCTATTAGCCTACATGACTCTACCCTATCTCACCTATGACCTACCTACTCTCTCTAGCTCTCCACTCCGTACTCTTCTTTTATTTTACTTTTCTACTCGTTGCAGTGAAAATTACTGTTTACAATTTAAAATACAATTCATACAACCATACATACACAGGCTATGTATTAAAGGTGCAAGCACATAATTAACTTTCTTTTTATTTTATTTGTTAAAACATTGATCATATAATAAATAAATAACTCTTTCTTCATTTTAATTTATACAGAATGAAGTTTGTATTCTAGTATTCAGTATAGTTGTTAGTTTGTCACGATATCACGATCATCTGTGGACATTGGCTAAAAATATTTCTTAGTTGAGACTTGAGAATTATATATGGATTTGTAGAACAAATGATTTTTTTAGAAACAAATATTCTTTTTTTTTTTTGTTAATGAACAAATATTCTTGAAGTTAGCTTTTTTCTGTCTAATAACTTAAGTGTTGATTTTAGTTTACATTTACACTTATTCCGCATCTACTTTAGTTTAATTACACGATATAAGAATATTTCTTATCTGTGACCAGATATATGATTTAGTTGTTTGTATTAATTAGTATGGTTGAAGTATCAACATCTGGATATTTATATTCAAGTAATTTATATTGTTGACAAAATAAAAAATACATCTACATGTGAACATCGTTCTCTTTTTTTACTCACTTTCAGAGTTTGAATCCACTCGTAAATTTTGTTTTACCCACACTGTCGCTCTCCTTGATATCCGAGAATTTGTTACTCCATATATAATTTACTCAGGCCAATTATATAAGAATTATGCAGAAAGCGGAATCTTACAAAACCCATTTGCTTTTAATAATTGAATGAGATTTTCAGAATCGTAGTTTTTGTATAAAAAGAAGATAGAAAATAGAACTGGAGAAACCCTATAGTCTTCATATCTGATACCTTTTTCAAGCACAGAATAAGTAAATGCTTTATTCACACACATCTATGTATGTATATAGGAATGTGTGTGTATATATATACTTTGAAAAGCCATTATTCTTTGTTCTGCGCAACAGCCCATTTCTAACTCATCCCTTGCAAGTAGCAAGCATAGGCACATTTTTGTTTTATTTTTGTATACAACAGAGTTTCTTATCTTGTAGATGCGTACATACTTTTACTATTCGGAACTAGAATGGTTCAAAGTACTGTATATTTATCTAATACAAGTAGTCTGTTCTCAATGTCTTTAATTAGTAGCTAAAATGAGTTTAACTAGTGAAACAGAAATAGTATTAACTATATGATATTGAAGTGTACTGTCATGTAACACGGTTCTAGTCGGTGATGATAAATTTTATATTTGTGAGATGATATATATTTAAATTTGTCAACATCTGTTGCTATTTCTTATATAGTGATGGGCTTTGTCTACATTTTTGTAGTGAGCTTGATTAGTGTCTATAATTGATCTCTAAAGACAAATGATGGTTGACTTCCATTGACACTAATATTTACTTTCAAACATGTGGGGTTCAGTTTATACCTTTTACAATTTGGATGTTTGTGAAAAACAAAAGTAACATAATAAGTAAAAGATATTATATTACTCTAGAAAAGGCGAAAGTCCCCATACAATCTATTATGCACACACCATTTGAAGAATTAAGTTCATTATAATTAATGGATATCAATTAATTGATTGAAACATCATTGGCAAGTTAATTAGTTACTTTTCCGAAAAGTAAAAAACTGAAAGAATTATTTCATAATCATGCATATATATGAGATTGTGGAGAGTATGAATTATTGCTTCAATTAAATTGTAAGTACTTTCTCATTAGATGTACAAATAGATTGGGGGCTTATGGCAAAAGCTTTTCTAAACCAATCAGAAGAGAAAAAAATAGGGAAATGTCAATGTCACGCCTATGATCTCAGTACACACATGCATGCATGTATATACACATATTACACATATAAATTCCAATACATGTGTGTACTATCTCTGCATTCCCATCGCCCAAATTGCGACAAAAGTGTGGGCTAACCCTAACATTATATACGTTTCTAGTAAAGCATGATCAGACCAACATTTTCAACTTTTCCTTCATTACAACCAAAAATTATGCACGCCTTAAATTTAATTAATACTCAAAACTTCCGTCATTATATTTGCATCTTTGGTCGACCTTTTACCTATATAACCACTTCTTCTTCTTTTTTGTCAAACACTTATATGACCACTTAAATGTTATTAATTGTGAGGCAATAAATAGTAGCTGGTTGCAATATTTCCGAGCTTGATTCTTCATATGTAATTCTAAGTTATGCTGAATTTACAACGTAATGTGCATTTTCGGTAACCGGATGTTATGGATTGCAAACCAAATGAATTTGCTAGTGAATTACGAAATATTAGCTAACTTAACCACTTAATTAAGAAAGGTAATGCTATAATACTAGTTTTTTAAGAAAGGGGAAATACTAGTTGCAATAAAACGATAATACGATTGAGTTAGCATTACATAATCTACAAATTCTATCATTCTCCGGATTAGTAAGAAATAGTAATATTGACATACAAGGAAATACTTTTAATTGGCTGGACAAAACATAGATATACATAGCATATATCATATTTGGAAAGTGGATGCAAAGATATTTTCTTAGACATCTATACTTGAAATGAGAATGGAATATCTTTTAAAAAAAAACATGTAGGTTAGAAATTAATTACGTGTGGAGTTTTGCTCGTGGCTTTCACCAATATGGTGTTTCTATAAATACGTACATATACATGGCGCTTTTAAAACTATCATTGAGAAACAACATATTGGTGCACAAAAAAAAAAAAAAAAAAAAGAAACAACATATTAATATATTGGTTGTTTCCTTTGTTTAGTTCTTAGTTAATCACTATACAAGTTTGAGAGTGTGCGTAAGTAATTAAGTGATAGATGCCATATATATTTTTTATTTAAAATAACGATTAACTTAAACGG